GCACTTCTGTTCAGTTGAGTTTTGCTAATCTCTCCACTTCCTGTTGCGCTGGTTTGGTTTGTCTCCTGGAGGGGGTCTCTATCTGCGGGACACCGCCCTCTCCCCTGGAGTCCCCCCCCCCCCCACGCACACACATACACAGTGGTGAGCTAGAGCCCTGTCGGCTTGCGAAATGAGCCCTCCGGCCACACGGGCCCATGGCTCCTCTCTGGCCATCCTCTTCCAGGTGCAGGGGTCCCCATGCAGACCCCGCCTCTCCAGGGGTCAAAGGTGAGCCAGGCTCTGACACTGCAGAGGGGACCCCCAGCACCGACCCCATTCTGTTTGCACACGCCCCTCTTCCTGTTCTGTAAATAGATATTTTTTGAGATTTATTTTTAAATAAATATTGAACTTGCTGTGTTCAAAGTGGTTAAACGTGAATGATGTAGCTGTTTATAAACACACTGGGTTCTTCCGTCTTCCAAGGGCGGCCTCTGCCCTCTGCTGCCGCCTCTGCTGGCCAGGTGAGAGGGGGCCGGGGCAGGGAGAAGCTGGCCGCACCCCTCTCCCTCCGGTGGAGCTCTGTCTTCCGCGCTACACCTACCTCCGGGGTGCAGCGTCTTGCAGACTGACCCCTCAGTGGGGGCTCGCGAGCCCTGGCCCCTTTCCCTGGGCTCTGGCGCCTGCCGAGAGTGAAGCCGGCTCTCCAAACTTTTCTCCAGGCTCCCGCAGAAGGAAGATGAGGTGGGGCGCCCGCCTGTCCCGGGCCTCCTGCTTCCAGACACTAGAGACTCATGGGCACCGACACTTGCCGTCATTTTGCACTAGGAGTGGGCAGAGCAGCATGTGTGTCAGACAGACACACCCGCCCTGCACTGAGCCTCCCACTTGTACACCCGAAGCTCCTCATGTGAACGATCTCTGGGTTTTCCTTTTGGGGGTGCAAGAGTGGGGCAAGAAGTTGGAAATGGATCACTCCTGAACTGAGGGCGTGCGTGTGCCATGCACACGGGAGTCAGTGCCCGCAGAGGCGCCGGCTCTGCCAGCTTCAACCCGGCTGCATCTTGAGACCACTGTGAATTTGCTGCCGCTCTTCCAGCTCAGCCGAGTGGTTTTAAGGTTTTCCAGCTCTTCCACGGCTCTTTTTATATCCGTCTGGTAGATCCTGTGTCGATGTATATAAAGTTGAATTGCAGCCACCAGCCTGTGGGGCGTTCGTGGTTCCTTTTCCCATTTCACAACCGGCAAGGTCCAGCCCACTCCAGAGCGCTCTGGTTTTCTAGTTTTCCATTTCCAGATAGCTCCAGCATCGCAGTGGCTCCTGGCAGGCGGAGCTGTGGCCCTGCTGAGTCCTGAGAGCTTCCGGGGCCACGGCCACTCCTTGCTGTGGCTCTTTATAGACGGTGATGGGACAATTGAGTAAATGCTAGTGACACATTCACATGTTTTGCATTTGATTTCTACTAAGTATTGAAATGTTGAGAGATGATTTTAAAAGATAATAAAGTGTCTTCCATTGTTAAATGAAGTGTTGGGGTTTCGTGTCCCCTTTCCCTCCGCATTTCTCTTAGAAGTGGGGCTGCTCTGGTTTGGAAGTCATCTTTAGTTCATGACATGACTCTTGTGCTCTGAGATGACAAGCAACAGCAGTCCCCGCGGGCTCTCAGCAGAGGCCACACAGGTGTGACCACTGGTCTCCAGGATGTCACGGCAGGGCTGCAGCCCCGCTGGATGGTAGCCCAGAGGCCTGACCTCAGAACTTTAGTTCCGCAACTCCCTCCAGGAGGACGCGTTACTGGCCCCGGGATGGAGCCCCGCTCAGCCCCACCCAGCCCTAGCCCTGCTGCTGTAGGCGCCTAGGAGTGCGCTTAGCTTCTAAGGCAGGCCACACCACGTTTCCATGCGCAGCTGTGAGATTACCTTTAAACCAGCTATCATGGGTTCGATCCCTATTTTATTACTTTTTTTTTGTCAGTTGTGGGGCCTGAACTCAGGGCCTGGCGCTGTCCCTCAGCTCTTTAGCTCAAGGCGAGTGCTCGACCACTTGAGCCACAGCACCACTTCTAGTTTTCTGGTGGTTTATGGGAGATGTGAGCCCCCAGTGCCTGGCTTTTATTATTTTTTAATCCCTATTTTAAAAATGATAAAAACTAGCTGGGCGCTGGTGGCTCATTCCTGTAATCCTAGCTACTCGGGAGGCTCAGATCTGAGGATCACAGTTCAGAGTCAGCCCAGGTTGAAAGGTCCCTGGACTTACTTCTAGTGAACCACCTGAAAACCAGAAATGGCGCTGTGGCCTCAAAATTATAGAGCACTAGCCGTGAGTAAAAAAAAAACCTCAGGTACAGTGCCCAGGCCCTGAGTTCAAGCCCCACAATCCACCAAAAATAAAAACACAACAAAAAAGCCATAAAAATCTATTCAAAGTCGGGCACCTATAATTCTAGCTACTCAGGAGGATGAGCTCTTATGAGTATGGTTTAGAGCCAGTCTGGGCAGTAAAGTCTCAAAAACAGAAGTGGCCCTGTGGCCCAAGTGGTAGAGTGCTAGCCTTGAGCAAAAGCTGCTCAGGGACAGCTCCTAAGTCCTGAGTTCAAGCCCCAGTATCACACAAGAGAAAGCAAAACCCAAGGCAGGTGTTGAGAGTGAGGAAAGTGCTGGGGTTCTAGCAGACCTGGCTTTCTGCACTAGCCCCACCAAACATTGCTGGACAGGCCCTGAGGCAGGCCATGCAGCCACAGGGAGGAGATGGTGTTTCTGCATCACACACTGGCCCAACCAAGAACCCAGGCCTCCATGCTGGCATTGCTGTCAGCTGCCATGAGCTGACAGGAAGTGGGTGCCTAGAGGTTCCTCAGCCTGGAAAATTGGAAGATGCCAGCCCAGCCATCTAGAGCAGGCGGTGACAGAGCAGATCTCTTCCTTTGTATATGTAAACGACAAACACTTAACCATCACCAAGTTCACCAGCTGTACAGGATTAGCTTTGATGCCAGCTCCAAGTGCCAGGCTGTGGTACCACACTGATTGCCTGCCGTGGAGGGATGGAAGCTGTGGCACACTGAATTGTACCCGTCTCCAGTTGCCTTTTCCCCCGGGTAATGGAATCCTGTTTTTTGTTTTTTTGCCAGTCCTGAGTCTAACTCAGACCCTGGGTGCTGTCCCTGAGCCTCTATGTGCTCAAGGTTAATGCTCTACTACTTTTGAGCCACAGCACCACTTCTGGTTTTTGAGTGATTAGTTGGAGATTAGTCTCCCAGAGACTTCTCTGCCCAGGCTGGCTTTGAACTGTGATCCTCAGATCTCAGCCTTCTGAGTAGCTAGGATTACAGAAGTGAGCCACCGGTGCCCAGCTACATCTTAAATTTTGTATGTAGATGTTCAGTTTTCCCAGCCCTGTTTGCTGGAGGGACTGCCTGCCTTCTCCCCATTAAACAGTCTAGGTGGCTTTTTTGATGATTATTTGGCCATGATCACAAGGGTGTATTTCTGGCTATTCTATTCCACTGAGCTGTCTATCAATACCACACTATTTTGAAAACTGTAACTCTGTTTTTGTTTTGTTTTGCCAGTCCTGGGGTTTGAACTAAGGGCCTAGGCACTATCCCTGAGATTCTTTTTGGCTCAAGGCTAGCACTCTACCACTTGAGCCACAGTGCCACTTCTGGCTTTTTGGTGGTTATCCTTAGACCTCATCCTCCTAAGTAACTAGGATTACTGGCGTGAGTCACCAGTACCCGCCCCTTTTACTCATGCTTGCTTGCTCATTCAGCTGCCTGTCTGTACCAGATCTGTTCTCGGCTGCCCTGCTGGGCCAGGCCAGCATCCCCTGCGTCCCCTGGACATGCCATGGGTAGAGCACAGGAACGCCTTGAGGGGAGGATGGACAAACTTTCGTAGATGGTCAGCAGCAAATATTTTAAGCTTTGCAACTCATCAAGGATACGCAGATGCTGGGCTGGGAAGGTGGCTCAGTGGTAGAGCACTTGGCCTTGCATGTATAAGGCCCTGGGTTCGATTCCTCAGCACCACATAAACAAAAAGAAAAAAGCCGAAGTGGCACTGTGGCTCAAGTGGCAGAGCGCTAGCCTTGAGCTGAAGAGCTGAGGGACAGCACCCAGGCCTGGCGTTCAGGCCCCACAACTGGACCCCCCCCCCAAAAAAAAAAAAGATACGCAGATGCTTTTCAAGAGAGAGAGAGAGAGAGAGCACATTCCTACTTTAGGGACAAAATCCAAAACCTCGAGCCTGTGCAGTTAAGTGGGTATAGGCTCCTGGACTCTGTGGCCCGTCTGGCCTTCCGTCAGCTTTTGGCCTCGAAAGTGATTTCTTCTCATGCCTGCTCCTCTCATTCCCCAGAGGGCCGGGCAGTCGAACGTGAATGGATGTCCCACGGGGCGGTGCCCTGGGCCAGCAGACCAGCCCCATCTGACCTGAGTCCCTTCCCAGCCCTCAGGGCCAGCTCTGCTAGGTGCCAGGGCCTGTGGCTTACGTCTCCCCAGTGCTGTGGTCTGGTCAGCCCCCACGTGTCCCACACCTGCAGGTTCCGTTATGGTGGGGTGGTGGCTGCCTCTGGCCAGCAGGCTGGGGACATCCAGGTCCAGTTGGCAAGTTCTGCCCCTCCTGCCTGGGCTGTGGTGGGGTGGGCAGCAGGAGACCCAGCACTTGCCTCCTGGGTTCCTTTGCCTGGGGCCTTATACACGGCCCGATGCCTAGCAGGTCCACGAGGGTGCAAACAAACTCCTGGCCCCGTCTCCCTCCCTCCTACCTGAAGACAGCTGTGGACACAGAAACGGCCCCTGTTGGACAGTGGGCTCAGAGTGCCAAGGAAAAGGCACTGGCCAGGCTGGGGCCAGCCCAACTGGCCTCTGAGCAGTCCCAGGCCCAACTCCTAGGCACTGTGCCAGAGCCTGCCGCTGCTGGCCAAGGAAGGCTGCAGGCAGGCCCGAGGACTCAAGTGGCATCTAGGAGGGAGAAACCCCGTGTCTGCCAAGCCACTGGACATGGCGGAGACCAGCTCTGATTGAGCAGCATCTTTATTTCTAAATAAATATCCAGTGATGTGACTTCTCCAACCACTTCTAAATGTGTAAGACAAGACAAGCAGGGGCAAAAAGGAGGCCCGGCCCCCCTCGGCCTCCCCTCCCCCTCCCAGAGGAGCAGCAAGAGGCCTGCAGGGGCACAGGCCCAGCCTCAGAGCTCCAGAAACCCCAGGGAAAGCTGCCCGGGAGGAGCTTGAGAATGCAGGGCCCTGGCCGTGCAGGGGGGTCTGAGCTCCGGTGGAGGCTGGGCGCACCATGCCTCCCTCATGCACACCTGCGGTGGCCTCCAGGGCACACAGCCCCTCCCCGCAATCTCTATCCAGCCCAGTCTGGCTGCACAGTGGGGATGAGCCCTCACTGAGGCCAGGGTACACAACGGCACTTTTGCCCCCTGGGGCCGGGAAGGGGCAGCAGAGCAGCGAGGAGCCGGGGGAGAAACGCTCTGGTCCTTCCCTAGCACCGAGGTATGCCCCGCACTTGGGAACTGGCAAGAGCCCAGAAGGAGGGAGCCTTGTGTGTCACAGAGCAGCTGTCAGCTCCAAGGCCGGGCTCTGGCTCTGTCCAGCACGGAGCCATGCCCACTGCAGGCTCCGGCAGAGGAGGGGTAGCAGCCAGCAGGCCGGACTGCGGGTGGCTTCCGCTCTCCACCTCAGGCTCTTCATCGGGGCAGATAAAGATCTGCATGGCACCGAGGGCAGCTCCGGGCCCAGGCAGCCCAGCCACCATGCCTGGGGCTCCTTCTGCCAGGGTGCAGCCCATGGGATCAGGGACCCATGCGCTCAGAAGGCCACATCCGTCTGCTGGCCTGGAAACACAGTTAAACCCTTCCCCATACACAGGGATCTGTGGGTCACTGGGGTCTGGGGACTCGGGTGGGCACTTCCACAGCCGGGGACATTGGCCCAGCCAGCACTGCCCTGCAAGATGCACTGGTGGCTTCTCTGCCCTGCACTGAGGGTCTGAGTACCCGAGATGGCACCAAGCTACCCTCGCTCAGCAGCCCGGGATGGCATGCACACAGCAACTTCACTCACCCGAGGGCATAGACCCCCCCCAGAGCCATGCGTGGGGACTGGGCAGAGTACAGCAGTTACAGAAAGGGCAGGTGAGCCAGCACCCAGGCACCGGACCCACGGGGGTGTGACTTGAGGCCACTTGTGTCCCAGGTGTGATTGTAGAATCCCTGCTCTGGAAGCCTGGCTCAGATGGAACCCAAGATGGCGGGGAATGGGAGAGAGAAGGGACAGAGCCCTGAGCAGCAGTGAGGGTGGTGGCAGGTAAACAGCAGCCTGGGAGGACGGGCCGGGGACAGGGAGCAGAGGGTGGGGTGGTTACGATGCTCGCGCTTTGTCACTGCGCTGTCCACAGGACCCCATACTTCCCACTCCTCTCACTAGAGGGCGCTGTGATGCCACAGGAAGGCCCGGGAAGGGCTCAGGCTGGCAGCATCCCTTGGAGCTCAGGAGAGGTGGACCCTGCTGACATCAGGGCAGGCAAGCTAGAGGCTGGAGAATGGTCCTTCAGTGTTTCTCAGGGAGTGAGGGACACTGCGATCTCTAGGTCTTGCCACTGGGTCAGAATGGCTGCTGTTCCTCACAGAAGCACAGATGCCACCCAGCCTGCAGGCTGTTCCAGGGGTGGAGGATGGAATGGGCTGGCAGTCCCTGGCTGGCTCCCAGCAGGCTCTGGGCAGCCCCTGCTGGCAGAGGAGGGGAGCATTTACCTGGGACTGTGGTCAGCCACTCGGGCTGGCTCAGCAGGGAGTTTGGGGCTGACAGGCATTTCTGAACCAGCTAGCTCCAAAGGCCTAGAAACTTCAAGGGGAGCAGCCACCTTATACTTGCTGGTCTTACATCCTGGAGAAGCTGCCGAAAGCAAGCTGGCGCCTCTGAGTCCCGGGCCCCAGAAGCTTCGCCCTCGCGCCGTCAGAACAGCTCCTGCTCGTCATCCTCGGAGCCTGACGGGCCCTGGCGCACCTCCTCGTACCACTTGTTGGTGAGGCTCTTCATCTGGATGCGCCCGCGGTGCAGGTCCTGGGCACAGACACAGGAGCCGGTCAGCGGGAGGAGGGGCGGGGCAAGGCACAGGGAGCAAACAGAAAGCACCACTGGGCACATGGGAGGGGCAGGGGAGCTAGACAGCCCACAGCCTCAGGTATAGACGTGTGGGCTCAATTCTCCCCAAAAACCTCAGTTTCCCCCCTGCTGTCAAGTGAGCTAGCGCTGGGTCTCCTGCATGGCCAGAGAGCACGTGGTGCAGTGCCCAGACCCCGAGACACCCCCGACAAGCGCGTGCCGGCCAGGCAGCCGAGACGGGCCCAGAGGGATGGGGACGGCTGCAGGGACAGCCCTGGCCTCACCTCTCACCTCATCACCTCCCGAGGGGCCCAGCAGCACCCATGCACTCCTGGGTACTGCCCAAGGCCACAGAGTGCCTGAACCCCTCAGCCCGGCTTGGGGAGGACATTGGGAAGGAAAAGCAGGGGCAGCTGAGCTCTGCTCCCCCAGCCCACAGGGAGCGGGGTACACTGGTGGCTCCCACAGGCCTCCCGCAGCCTGCCCCCCGGCCCAGGGCCACTAAGGAAGCCCTGGGCCTGTCCCACCTCCTGGGTCAGCCGCCGTGTGAAGAAGGGGTTGAGGTACTTGGCGTCCAGCCACATGAAGCCCTTGAGGTCCTGCCGCCTGATGTAGTGCGCTTCGTACTCCTCCTCCGTGAGCTCCGACAGGTGCTCCGACTCCACTGTGTTGCCCTGGGTGACAGGGAGCCCCAGCTGTCAGCCACTGCTCCCCGGGACCTCCTACCACCCAGCCCTAACTACTCACTGCACCCTCAGTGCAGGGCAACCACGGGCACAGCAGCCCCCTGGCCCTCGGCTGGCACAGCTGAGTCAGAAGCTCTGGGAGCTGGGTGGGCAGGCAGGGGAGGGGAGGGCAGGGAGAGGGAGGGGGAAGACAAGCCTGGAGATGAGGACCGAGGCTCTTCTGCTCCACCCCAGCAGAGGCCCCAAGCCAGCAGAAACCTGATGAAGCCACCACCACCACTGTCGCCACCATCATCACCAGACACCGCCACTAATGACAGCCCTCCCATTCCAGGCCGGGCCTGTGAGGCAGACGGGGGTGGGGGGTGGGGGTGGGCATTCTGATCTGTGCTACGGAGATGCTAAAGCTCTGCTCCCACAGAAGCAACAGGACATTCGGGGCACCCTCCCACCTGCAGTCTCCGCCTCAGTAGGTCAGGCCAAGAAGCTGAATCTATCAAGTTCCGGGGCTGCCACTGGCAGTCGACCTGCGGCCGCCCTGCAGTGTGCAGTGAGGCCTGGGCTCTGACCAGGCCTCGGTGTGCTCACCTGCAGGCCAGTGCCATACAAGCACCTTCTGCAGGCAGTGTTGCGGTGCCTGACCACAGCGCATGTGCATGCTGAAGGAGCCCGGCCTCTCACCTCCACAAGAGGGGCTCCAGTCCCTACAGTGCTTGCTACAAAGGCCCCTTCTGCTGCAGCCTACGCCCACTCTTAAAAACCAGCAAGTATGCCTGTCATCCTAACTACTCAGGAGGCTGAGATCTAAAGATTGGGGTTCAAAGCCAATCCAGGCAGGAAAGTTCTTGAGACCTCAATTAATTACCAAAAAGCAGGAAATGGAGCTGTGGCTCAAAGGGCTAGAGCATTAGCCTTGAGCACAAAAGCTCAGGGACAGCACCCAGACCCTGAGTTCAAGGCCCAGGACTGGTCCCTAACAACAAAACCCAGCAAGAAAGGTGGTGGACAGGGCAAGGAGAAGGGCCTGCACATGGGAGCCCACAGAGTTCGGCCCAATGTCACCTAAAGGCCTCCACCTTCAGCCCCACAGTAGCCCTGTGCTGGTGCCAACTAAGGGGCTGCGGGGCCGGGAGGCCCAGTCTTCCAGACAGTCTCCAATCACAGGCAGGCTGTGAGGATTCCTGCTACCTGCAAAGGAGCACTAGAAAGGGGCAGGGCAGCACCAGAGGTGGGCAATGGGTATAGGAAAGGTAGTTTCCACTGAAGCCACACTGGACCCCTCCAGCCCTAGCCTGTGCCCTCCACGTCCTGAGGGAGGCCACCTCCTTGACGGCCCAAGCAGCCACTCACTGCAAGCTGCCCTGCCCTCTGTGGGTCCCAACAGGAGTTTGAGTGAGCACTGGGGACACTGATCTGGACCTTTCCAGGCCAGGTCTCTGGCAGGGGCGGGGCTGCCTGGTTCTACCCAGCACCTTTTGCTGCAGATGGACCATGGGGCTGGTGGACATGCTACCACACAGACCTATGCTTTTGACTCTATGCTGCACACACCAGGCATCCCAGGATCCCACGCCTGCCCTTCCCACAGGCAAGGCCCCCAGCAGGCACGGCACTGACCATCTTCTCGGTCTTGCTGAGGTTGACGTCCTTCTTGCTCCTGCGGCGAGCCCTGGCATCCTCAATGTCCATGAGGCGGATGAGGGGCATGGTGCTGCCACCCAGCAGCAGGATGGTGAAGAGCACAATGATGATCGTAGTGGTGCCAATGAGCTGCCGCTTCTCCATGGGCTCCAGGTCCAGGTGCAGACTCAAGGCGTAGGGGATGGCCCCCCGTAGGCCTGAGGGGACAGCAGCGGGTCAGGAGCCCAGGAGGCGAGGATGCTGTCACAGACCCCCGCAGTGCTTCCTGGTATGAGCGGCTGTACAGAGCCAGGCTGCCCTTGCACTGGCTGGCAATCTTGCTTCAGGCACAGGAGTGCTGGGATTACAGTTGTGCATCAGTACAGCCAGTTGACACACACATTGTGGTATTTTTGGTGCTATTGGGATTTGAACTCAGGCTGTCTCTCTCTCTCTCTCTTTTTGTTTTGTTTTGTTGGTCATGGGGCTAGAACTCTGGCCCTGGGTGCTAATTGGAGATAAAGAACCTTAGGGATTTTTCTGGCTTTGAATCTCAATCATCAGATCTCAGTCTCCTAAGCAGCTGTTATTATAAGCCTGAGCAACCAGATCTTTTGAAAGTAATTTTTTTTTTTAATTGGTCAGTCATGGGTCTTGAACTCTGGGCCTGGGCACTATCTCTCAGCTCTTCAGCTCAAGGCTAGCACTCTACCACTTGAGCCACAGCGCCACTTCTGGTTTTCTGAGTGGTTTTTTTTTTTTGGGTCTGGTCGTGGGGGCTGAACTCTGGGCCTGGGCGCTGTCCCTCAGCTCTTCAGTTCAAGGCTAGCGCTCTACCACTTGAGCCACAGCGCCACTTCCGGCTTTTTTCTTTTTGCTTATGTGGTGCTGAGGAATCGAACCCAGGGCCTCAGGCATGCAAGGCAAGCGCTCTACCACTGAGCCACCTTCCCAGCCCCTTCTGAGTGGTTTATTGGAGATAATAGTCTCACACACTTTCTGCCCAGGCTGGCTTTGAACCACAATCCTCAGATCTCAGCCTCCTGAGTAGGTAGGATGACAGACGTGAGCCACTGGCGCCTGGCCTTGAGAGCAATGTTAAGACAAATTTAAAGCTTGCTATAAATTCAAGAACATTATGAAGTATGTTGCTATATTCTAACTCATATGGAAATGCTTCAATCGTAACACTTAAACAAGGAAGCACAAAGAACTCTATGTATTCCCCCAAAATGGAAAGATGCGTAAGGATGCGTTTTTTTAGGAGTCAAAGCTTCATAAAATCATTTTCATGCTTGAAAATGTGGAGAAATGACTGAACGGCAGCTGAAATATCCCAAGAAACTGCTAGAACTCTGGCTGAAGGAAAGAAGAGCCACCCTGCGTATGTCGGGGGTAGGAGGGCTGAGGTAGGGCATCTGCCTTCTAGCATGAAGTCCTGGGTCACCTGCCCAGTACTGCCAAAAGCAAAGGAACAGCAGATACCACCTGCCCCATGAGCCCTAAGAAGGGGACAGGGCAAGGCTGGTCCTGGCTGCGTGCTGACAGTCAGGGGTCCTGAGCCGGTCCTCTGGCCCTCCATGGAGCACAGGGGGCACCCTGAGGCAGGCAGTAACCCGGTATCTGGGCAGGTCTTTATCACCGCTCTCCCCTCTGTTGACTCTCTTACCACTAAACCACATGATGAACATCATCTTCGGAGTGATTTTATGGTCACGGAAGAAATTCAGCAGATAGGAAAGAGGGAAAATGTTGACCGCTCTGCCAAACAGGACGAGCACCTGCAAACACAAATTGAGTCAGCTCTGCTGCTTCTCGCTGGATCTCGTGGCTGCCGCCACAGGGGGGTGCACCCGCGCCAGAGTCCATGTGTGGGGAACAAGCTCTGTGTCTCACGTTTCCACAGTGGGAGGACAGCCAGGGAGCAACAGGGCCAATGGCCAGAGCCCAGGCAGAAGCCATCCATCAGGTCAAGGGCACCTGACTGAGAAGACCTCACCATGAGACAGGCTGCTGCTGTCTTCCCCACAGGGTGAGCTCTGGAGGGCAAAGGGTTTCTGCCTCCCTGTGGGGCCCCACTCCCCACGGCAAGGTGGCAGACTGATGTCGACCTGGAAATGGACATTAGCTCTGGACAAAAGGAACCTGCAAGTACCTGCCATAGCTTTTGGCTTCCACCATCTCCAAAGGCCTTATGCCTAATGACACACAGTCTATGGGGTTGGGCTGGGGCTTCCTAGCATGCACAGGGCCTCTGGGTTAGGCACCCAGCACTGGGGAAAGGAAAGACAAAAGCAACCAGGAGTTGGTAGCTTATGCCTGTAATTCTAGCTACTCGGGAGGCTGAGATCTGAGGATAGAGGTTTGAAGCAAGCCTGAGCAGATAAGTCTGAGACTCCAAATAACGAGCATTTATCCAAAGTGGAGCTATGGTTCAAGTGGTAGAGTGCTAGCCTTGAGCAAAAAAGCCCAGTGAGAGTTCAAAGCCCTGAGTTCAAGCCCCAGTACTAGCACACAAAAAATAAAAGGAAATAGCAAAATAAAGCTCTATTATGCACTGGACTCTCACAAGTATTTATTCATTCATTTGCATTTGGGACACATGTACATTTTTCAGGCTTTAAGTTTATGTATTTATTTTTTTGGGTCGGTTGTGGGGCTTGAACTCTGGGCCTGGGCGATGTCCCTATGCTCTTCAGCTCAAGGCAAGTGCTCTACTGCTTAAGTCACAATACCACTTCCGGTTTCGTAGTGGTTTATTGGAGATAAGAGTCTCACGAACTTTCTTGCCCGGGCTGGCTTTGAACCGTGATCCTCAGATCTCAGCCTCCTGAGTAGCTAGGATTACAGGCGTGAGCCACCAGTGCCCGGCAGTCAAAACACTTTTATGTCAGATAATGTACTAAGGATTTTGTCTGACACGGCTATAGCTGGCTACAGAGACCCAGCTCACTGGCTTCAGTGATTTTCCAGACAGGGTCTGTAAGTTTTGCCTCAGACCTGCCTCTCGCGTGAGCTCACAGGTGTGCAACACGACGCTCACTTATTGATCAAAATGGGGTCTCACTAACTTCTTGCTGGGACTAGTGTCAAACCCCAATGCTCCCAATCTCTAAATCTGCACTCTGATTGTTGTGCTGGTCCTGGGCTTGAACTCAGTGCCTAGGCCTTGCCCCTGAGCTTTTTTGCTCTTTTCCCCATTCTTTTGTTCTGATGTCTTTTATTTTCTTCAGTTGTGGGCCTTGAACTAACTCTGTCCCTTGCTATTTTGCTCAAAGCTAGCACTCTACCAGTGAACTCCACTTCTGGTTTTTGAGAGGTTAATTGGAGATAAGAATCTCACGGATTTTCCTGCTGGACTGGCTCAGAACTGCAATCCTCAGATCTGTCTCCTGAGTAGCTAGAATTACAGATATGAGCCCAGCTTTGTTTCCATTTTTAAAGGAGACATAGTATTCAAGGCCACTGAAAATTAAAGAGTAATTAATGAGACTTACTCATTAATTCCACTCCTTGCCCTTCTGGCACGCCTGACAGTTTTTGTGGCATGTGGTTTGACATCAGGATCAAGCTTTAGACCAGTGCTCTGCCACTTAAGCTGCATGTTTGTGATTTTTTTTTTTTGGTCCGGTCGTGGGGCCTGAATTCTGGGCCTAGGCGCTGTCCCTCAGCAATTCAGCTCAAGGCTAGCGCTCTACCACTAGAGCCACAGTGCCACTTCCGGCTTTTTTCTTTTTGCTTATATGGTGCTGAGGAATCGAATTCAGGGCCTCATGCACGCAAGGCAAGCACTCTACCATTAAGCCACCTTCCCAGCCCCATGTTTGTGACTTTTTAATCAAAAGAGACTTAAACAGAAGAGTCTATGTAGCTGTTGAACTGTTAACAGTTACATAAATGAATCTAGAATATGTGGCTATTGATCTAAAAATAAGCATTTAAATAAAAACAAGGGATGTACTTACTATGCACCAGATGACAAAGGAAATTTCAAACTTGTGAGGGAAACTAAAAATGGACAGGCCAAGAAATGCAAACACACATGTTTCTGAAACAAATCAAAGAATGCGTTATTCATCCCAACCATTTTCTCCAGCAGTAGGACACTGTTCAGTAGCACAACCCAACATGTTTTCCTTTATTTTCTAGAAAATCCTACAACTAATATGTATATGTATATTCTATACATATGCATATACGTGTGTATATATGTGTATATATATATATATATATTTTTTTTTTTTTTTTTTTCTTTTTCCTTTCCAGTTATGGGGCTTGAACTCAGGGCCCGATCACTGTCCCTGAGCTCTTCTGCTCAAGGCTAGCGCTCTACCGCTTTGAGCCACAGCACCACTTCCAGTTTTCTGGTGGCTAATTGGAAATAAAAGTCTCACAGACTTTCCTACCTGGCCTGCTTTGAACTGCGACCCTCAGATCTCAGCCTCCTGAGTAGCTAGGATTACAGGCGTGAGCCACCAGCACCCAGCTCGACAACTGATATTTTGGTCATGTAGGCACTGTTTCCCTGCACCTCAGAATTCCCCATGCAATGGGTCACACTGTCCCAGCCAGAAATGACTGTCCATTGTCTGAACACTGTTTTGGGCATGGATGCTCACAGCAAGGAGAGCCTACTGTCAACTTCCTCCCTGTGCAGAGGAAGTCAAGTGACTGCCCTCAACTGGCCTCAAGGTACTGAGGCCTCAGTGTTTAGAGCCCAGCTTCTGCCCAGCAGGACTGGCAGGGAGAGACTCAGCTCTAGCTCCTGGCTCCCCCTGAACCCCAGGAGGGCCCAACATGGACTCTCAGTGAACTGTGTATTTTAAGACAAAACACCTTATAAATTTTAGGCACTCTGCTTAAACTGTGACGTTGGTTGCTCAGAATAGCCTCATAGCTGGGGAGAGAGACTAGATTTTGAAAATTAAACATCATAAAACAAGCAAGGCTACTTTACAACATGTCAGCTGTGTTTGTTCAGCAGTCACACACCCTGTAAAATAAGCCCACAGCTGGACATTGCTCTCTGTTCTCTCCTTGGTAGGCCTTCTTATCTGGTAATAATTCTGTGGCCTTTCCAAATAAGCAGTTACAGCGTGGGCATGGCCACCTCTGCCTCTGGCTGGCAGCGTGAACTGCAGCATATGACTGGACCCTGGCTGAATCAGCCCATTCTCACATGACTGGAGCCTGGCTGAGCTGACCACTCTGGCACATGGCACTTCCCTTCAGCTTTCTAATCTATAAGCTGTAGCATCATCCTGACACACAGCCAAATCTCTGCGCTTGGATGCTGGGTCCAGGAGCATGTGCCTCTTGAGTCAGACAGATGCTGCAAATGACTCTGAAAGGGATGGCCCAGTAAACTCAGCTGGTATCTTCATGCCCAGGCCAGAGTGCAGTACCACCCAACGGGAAATCTGCCTCAGATGGGGACAAAACGAAACAGGAGCTGACACATGTTTTGCCTAGGATCCTTTGACTGTGAGGGTGTTCCGAGACAGGTGTCTGGGACTAAATACCCAGAAGCAGAGGCCTGGCCGCTACTCTCACTTTATGGCAAGAAGTCTCTGGCCTCTCCTCCCCTGAGCTGTTTACCTCTGCACAGCCAGCTCTGCCCCCCTGGCTCGTCAAAGAGAGACAAGTCCCTGGCAGCACCAGGCGGTGCTGCTGTTGGAGCGGCTGAGAGGATGCGCTCCTCTCAAGTACAAGAGGTACAGGAGAAGGAGGAGGAGGAGGTGGAGGAGGAGATGAAGGAGGAGGAGGAGGAGTCAGAGCTGGAGGTGGAGAGGCGGCAGTGGCACAGGAGGCCTGCTGGGAAGAGCAGGTCTTTGGCTCCCAGCCATGGGGCAGCATTGCCCGTGGGACCCTCAGCAGGGGCTCATGGGCACTGTGGAAATGCAGGGACTGCATTCCACGTGCCAAGCCAGGGTTTCCCATGTTCTCTTTACCATGTGGTCTTCTCACCCAATCCCCAGCATCAGAAACTTTCCCAGGAGACAGTTTTGGAAAAGCTAGTCTCAAATGTCTTAGATGAGCAGGTCTTAAAATGGCCACTGGTTGGAGGACGAGCATGGGCAGGGAGTGTGGTACTTGCTGCCAGGCAGGGCCACAACTGATGCCCAGCACAGAGGACTCACCGCACAGGAAGGCCACAGTCCGGAGGGTTTGCTGCATGAGGATCTGGGTGACCGGGGAGAGGTTATGGTGGGTGTAGTGGGACATCACAATGCCCGAGAACAGGATGGCCATGATGCCTGGAGGGGGTGAGAGGCAAAGCACAGAGGCATGAGCAGACACAACACCGCCATGTGACACCTAGTTGGACAGGAGGCCTCCTCCAGTGAGAGGAACTGTAATAGTGTTTAAGAAGAAAGGGAGCTAGGCGCTGGCTCTCGCCTGTAATCAGGAGGCTGAGATCTGAGAATTGCAGTTTGAAGCCAGCCTGCGCAGGAAAAGTCCCTGAGATTCTTTTTTTTTTTTTTTGTCAGTCACGGGGCCTGAACTCTGGGCCTGGGCGCTGTCCCTCAGCTCTTCAGCTCAAGGCTAGTACGCTCTACCACTTGAGCCACAGCGCCACTTGTGGCTTTTTCTGCTTATGTGGTGCTGAGGAATCGATCCCAGGGCCTCATGCGTGCAAGGCAAGCACTCTACCACTGAGCCACCTTCCCAGCCCTCCCTGAGATTCTTTTTTTTTTTTGGTCAGTCGTGGGGCTTGAACTCTGGGCTTGGGCGCTGTCCCTCAGCTCTTCAGCTCAAGGCGAGCACTCTACCTGCTTGAGCCACAACACCACAACACTGGTTTTGTAGTGGTTTATTGGAGATAAGACTCACAGACTTTCCTGCCTGGGCTGGCTTTGAACTGTGATCCTCAGATTTCAGTATCCTGAGTAGCTAGGATTACAGGCATGAGCCACCAGCGCCCAGCCTTCCCTGAGATTCTTATCTCCAATAAACTACTCAGAAAAAGCTGAAAATGCTGCTGTGGGTTAAGTGGTAGAGTATCAGCTTTCAGCAAAAGAAGGTCAGGGACAGCAAACACCCAGGCCCTGAGTTCAAGACCAAAGATTGGCCATAAAAAATATAAATTAGGAGACTGGTAGAATCATGGTTCACGGTCACTCCAAGCAAAAAGATCTCTTGTCAACAAATAAGCCAGTCACGGGGGCATACATCTGTAATCCCAGATTATATGGGACACATAAATAGGAGGATCTCAGTCCAAGACTGGCACTGGGCAAAAAAAGAGCAAGAGCTTTTTTGTTTGTTTCTGTGTTTTGTTTTTCTGGTCCTGGGGTGTGATGTCAGGTCCTGGGTACTGTCTGTGATGTCTGTGAGGACAGAACCATGCCCGGCACTGGGACAGGAGTCTCTGTGTCATACAGGAAACCAAGATATTTTTTCAAAAATCAAACAGGATATCCAAATATACAAACTAAAAGTCAAATTGTATAAGCCATGTTTTACCTCACTTCTCTCATTTTAGGGAAATAGTCTAACTGGCTAACTTGGCATAAATCACAGAATGACTCAGACACCGGCTGTCAGCTGTCTGTTTATGCCAAGGCTTATGAAACAAGGAGAGCTGCAGGTGTCTGTCACCTGTGTGCCAGAGGACTCACAGGCCCAGGAAAGAGCAAATTCCTTTGCTCGTTCATCCCCAGAGACTAGGAATGCTTTCTGCCAGACGCACATGACCAGATGGGCAAAGGGACACAGGGAGGAGACAGTTCACCTGCTCTTAGAGCACCAAGCAGGTTTCAGAGGGCACAGGTTCCTTGTGGAAACCCCTGCTAGAGTGATCTGCACTGTCAAGTTCCTCTGCTCCTCTCCGTAGGTACAGGTGACCTCCAGGAGAGCAGCACCATGAAGGCTCTGCCACCAAAAGGCAACACCAGGGCAGGGACACAACTCAGGTAAAGCCTGAGCATATGGGAGCTGTGAGGCCTTAGATCTGAACCCCAGCACTGGTGAAGCAAAAACACACACACACACACACACACACACACACACACACACACACACACACACACACACACACACACACACACACACACACACACACACACACACACACACACACACACACACACACACACACACCCCACCCAGCTAGCCTAGAAGCCAACCTCCACCCTGTGGCAGGGAGTCAGCCAGCACTCATGGGCCCTGGCTTCCTGGCCTTCACCAGCCTGCTACAAGGCACTCTGTGCTCCTTACCCTGCTGTAAAGTCAGCCCAAGAAGAACCAGGTGGTTCTTGTAAGAAATCTGTGCCTGGAAATGGAACTGTAGCTCAAAGAGGTAGAGCACTAGCCTTGAATGAAAAAGCTCAGGGTCAGCGCCCAGGCCCTGAGTTCAAACCGCATGACTGATAAAAAAGAACAACACAAAATGTATGTAAGAAATTTGGGCCCAACCCTCACTCTTTCCATAGAGGAGGCTGCATGCCTTGCGAGCCCCTGGGAGGGGCCGGAGGTGGAGTGCCCCTGCCCACAGGCCCTCACTCAGCCTGGGTGCTGGTCAGCAAGGGGCAGTGTGGCAAAGGGGGAGTTTGGCAAAATGAGTCCAGTGTACTGCACAGTCCCACAGTAAGGGATATAGAGAAAGCATAGACATGACAGGAGACCCAAAAGGAGATCCTGTGAGTAAAATACCGGTAATAAGAACAGAGATGTGGCCAGGTACTGATGGCTCACGCCTGTAATCCTAGCTACTCAGGAAGCCGAAATCTGAAGATCACAGTTCAAAGCCAGCCCAGGCAGTAAAGTCCATGAGACTCTGATCTCCAATTAACCACCGGAAAACTGGAGGTGGTGATGTGGCTGAACGTGGCAGAGCACCTTGAGTGAAAGAGCTCAGGGATAGTGCCCAGGCCCCAATTTCAAGCCTCAGGAATGACACAAAGCAGAAGAAAAAAAGTAAAATCAGGCATACTATGTCCAATACGCCCCACCCTGCTAACATGGTGGGAGGGGCACATGCTGGCCCCTCTACTGGCCTTGGCCTGTGGTTCTGCATGGCCTGTTTGGAGGGAAATGTCTCAGGGGAAGGTGATGAGCACCAGATCTTGAGTAGAGATGACCACTACTCTGCAAACTCCAGATGACCTTGGGCAGTGTAATCTAGCGCAACGGAGGTCTTCTTATGAGTACAGGAGGGACCCTCCTAGTGCCTCTGCCTCTGGGGACTCGTTAAAACAACCGCCTCCTCTTTAAGCAGGCAGGTCAGGCCACAGCCAGGCCACCCGGCCCCCAGTCACCTACCTGACAGCGAGGTCCCCTCTGCCAGGCCGTAGGGCAGGTAGGCAAAGATGATCATCATGCCGAACTCCAGGGAGGGCGTTTTCCTCAGATCGATGTGCTTCAGCACGTGAAGGCCGTCAAGGAAAAGGGACAAAGGGGTGCTGGATGGGACACACAGGCAACCACAGCAGCTGCCTTCCAGTGAACAAGTACAGAAGACGCAAACTGACCAGGGCTGTGATGAACTTGTCATTATAGACTTTCTTCCCTGTGAACACATGGTTGTCACAAAAACGGGATGTGCTAAAACACTGAGAATTGAGAATGGTGGAGACAAATTCTGGGGGAATTAAAATCAGCCAAGTGAATTTCTTGAAAAATGCAGATGGGGCCACTGTGTCAATTGCCCGAGGACGGTGCGCCCTGGCCACCGCCTGCCCCCTACCCATGGGCAATCTGGGCCTCTGGCCCTGTGGAAGACCTATCTTTCCAGCAAGTTCACCCCCCTGAGAGGAGTCTGCACACACGGGGACCCCATCCACAGACTACACCCAGGCTTCAAGTCCCCAAACACTGGACTGCTCTAAAGAAAAAACTAAATATGGAGGGAAAGCCGAGTACGGTGGCTCACGCCTATCTATAATCCTAGTTACTTAGGAGGATGTGATCTGAGGATCATGGTTCAAAGCCAGCTCAGCCAGGAAAGTCCATGAGACTCTTATCTACAATTAACCACCAGAAAACTAGAAGTAGTGCTGAGGTTCAAAGTGGTAGAGTGCTAGCCTTGAGCTAAAGAGCTCAGGGACAGTGCCCAGGCCCAGACTTCAAGCCCCACAACTGACAAAAAAAAAAGGACGGAAATACTCAAGTGGGAAAAGCCATCTCCTTGCCATGCTGTTTACTGGTACAACAGGAGAAGCTGTCAGCCGACTACTGAGTCAGATTTAAACAACAAGAGGATAGATGGGAAAATGTTAACAGGATGGCAGAGAAACAGGCCTGGAGCCAGTGGGAGTCTTCTGGTCTTCTGAGAGCAGACGGCTCTAGAAGGAAGACCAGGGCCACTCACTCCTGGGAATGCAGCTCAGGCACCTGCACACACCATCTAGAGCCTGCTCCTATTCCATCATGGTGAATTTTCCCCGGCAATCAAGGTGTCAGGGCTCAGCAGGCCTCTTTCCTTCTCTGGCCAGAAAAACTACAAAATCCGTGTAAATAACTTCACAGAGGTTACGCCCCAAGTCCTTTTGTAATCCTTCCACATAAACACATGATCAAGATAGTTTTAATTTCAGATTTCCAAAGAAAACTAGCTTTCAGTTTTGTGACTATGGCAGCAGGAAGGACAGTCGTGAGTCCGTGTCCTCTGGGAAGCAAGGAGCCCTGACAAGTCCCAAAGTCATTCCCGATGTGGGAGTGGTCCCATGTTAAAATTAAAAAGTTCCTGAGTTCAGTTTCTACAGCTAAAACTCAGCATGAAAATCTGCCTTTAAGCTTGGTTCCTAAGGAATGGAGGAAATAGCAAGGGAAGTGGGTATGAAGATGACTCATCCCACCCCATGCTGCCCTGCCCCGCAGGCCCGCAGACAAAAAGGATATTAATGCAGAGATTAGGCCAGTGAGGGTGCCTAGGGCTGCGGAGCCGAAGAACATTTTGAGGAAGTAGCCGAGGGCTTGTAGAAAGGTTTGCCACCCACTGACGTCTGACGTGTTTTTCCTTGTTAAGCCTTCAGCTGTGCTAGGAAATAAAATACAAGTTAAAATGTTTTACACCTCTTGCTCTTCATTCAGTCAGTCAGTCACACATTTATTTGTTCACCTTCTTTGTCCCACAGTTTCTGTGGCTCAGAGGCGAGGGCAAAGTCCCTGCCAAGGACCTGGAGGGGCAGGACAGGGAGGCAAGGGTCAGAAGGATCTTGAGGCAATGCCGCTTTACTTAGGGTCAAGAAGAGTTCACAGGTTGAAGGACAGGCAGTATGAGGCGGAGGGAGGAAGGAGGGAGGGAACCAGCCGGGCCTGTATAGCACAGTGGGGGAGTGTTTGGGTGCAGGAGGGGGATCTGGTAGAGGAGGGGGACACTGGCAAGCGAGAGCAGGTAGGGGCAGGCCTACCCAGAGGACCAGGGGTGTCAATGTGAAGTGTGGTAGGGCTGAAATCTGCAATAAAACCTGAAACAAAGGCTTTGGCAAGAATGCAGGCTGGAATGGAGCGGCTGGGCGATGAGCCGCGGGAGGTTTCAAGCTAAGGCAGGACTGAGGAGGAAGAACGCCCCTTCCCTGCAACAGAGCGATGCCATGCGGGGCGTCAAAGCAGCTGCTGGTTTTACAGGGTCCAGCAGGTGCATAAACTGCAGCTATCTGCGCTACGGCAGTCCTCCCTCCCCTACCCACTCCATTCCTCTCCCGCCCGACCCCCTCCTCCTCCCAGGCCCACGTTTCGGATCTCTCCACCACAGCCTGTCTTCCTACAGACCACAGCCATTATGACCTCCTTCCTTACAGCTTTCCTGAGGCTTCCAGAAGAAGCTGTCTCAGTATGACCATGTCCCTGGCACTTCCTGGTGGGTCATCCTCCATCTTCCTGGCCCCAGCCAATATCCTGCTATGTTCCCCCAAGACACTGTCTGCTTGCTCGGGACCCCTGCCCTGCCCATTCACAAGGACAGGCCACTAGTAGGATCTCACAGGACCAACTTCCTTCATAGAAAAACCCTGCTAAGTCCCACAAGGGCCATCTCTGTCCACCCTCTGTCCAGCCTGTTCCTTGCCCCACGTGCAGAGGCTAGAGTGCAGCCACACACTTTCTGTTAACACCAAGGGCTGCCAACAGCACCATTCCACCTCAGTCATCGGCACTTGGTGGAGGACGATCCCTGAGTCAGTGCAGCTGGGGCGATGTGCAGGAAGCCATGGTGGGGCTGTAGTGTCCTGAGCAGTGTGTAGCAGACAGGCCTGGCCTGCTCTGGTTCTCCATGTACAGAACAGCACATTAATGGCTGTGCCTAACCTTGACTGCTCATTTTATGAAGTGACAGTTTCCTCCTAGTCTACTGCATGCAGTAGACTTCGGGCAACACTAGGGTTGAACTCCTGAGGTCCTTGACCCACCAGGCAGGCACTCCACTACTCAAGCCACTCACCTCCCAGCCCCTAACTACTACCATGTAAGTACAAGGGCTGAAACAGAACGGCTACATTTTCCTTATATACTTAACCACCATGTGCTGACACACCAGGATGCACACACTGATAAGAACTTACTTTTTGCAATAAACAATTACATCTACAACTATATCAGATCATATCAGATAAGCTCTTGCTTATCTGTCAACCAGATGAAACCTCTTCCCTCAGGCTCAAGACAGAGAGGTGGCAGACACACTGAGGAGGTCATCAGATCACTTGTCCAGGTTAACTGGCCAAAGCAAAGTCCCCAAACTCTGCTCCAGCAGTTTCTCCGCCTGTGAGCCAGATTTTCCCTGCCTCTGGGCCGGCTCTCTACCCATAACTTGCACACAGTGCTCTGAACTCTGCAGATGCCTTAGCCATTCTGTAACCTAGACGTTGCTATTGTGTGACTATAATGTGAGACCTGACAGTTAATACTAGCAACTAAGGAGCTATGGCTCAAATGGGAGAGCACTAGTCTTGAGCAAAAAAGTTCAGGGGCAGCATCTGGACCCTGAGTTCAAATCCTAGGACCAGCACAAAAGGAAAAGAAAAACGAAGAATCTGTACTGTTCATGGCTCCTGGCTCTCGAATGAATTCAATAATACTTGGCAAATTAATGCTAATGACATGTATACAGCTTGTGGATTTGTTAATACATTCTAGTGTAAAAAGACATTAATGTCTCCAACATAGCTTGCTCACATATTGCAAAAAACATGTCTGCCTTCATACAACTTCCTTAGACTCTCCTGAATATGTATCCCACCATGGCTGTCTTTGGGAAAGGCTGTGGAAGGTTATGGCTGCCTAGTTCCCAGCACAGACTGCCAACTCCATGTATGTACACGCAGTGTCCCTCCCAACCCTCTCCACTGCTAGCGACAGGCAGGCTCACGCTGCTGCTTTCTTGCCACACAGAGGTGGCTGAGACTTTCCTACGCTTCTGAACTCCACACAAACAAAAGCTGACTTCAGACTCTTGCTGGCCTGGCAATTTTCAGCATAGTATTTTTCAAATGTGTTTCTGTTTTTGAACTCAGAGCCTTGCACTTGTTAAGCAAGCATCTACCACTTGAGCCAGGCCTCCAACATTCTGCAGGCTACGTCTCCTGCTCAGGCTTCTTATTCCTCAAAGTTTACCACCATGCTGCTTGTGCATATAGCATCTATAGAAAATAACACAAGAATAAATTGTCATAGTAACAAATTAAAGCTAAAAGTAGTTTAAAGCTAGGAAACCAGGGGCTGGGAAGGTGGCTCAGTGGTAGAGCGCTTGTCTTGCATGCATGAGGCCCTGGGTTTGATTCCTCAGCACCACATAAGCAAAAAGAAAAAAGCCGGAAGTGGGGCTGTGGCTCAAGTGGTAGAGCGCTAGCCTTGAGCTGAAGAGCTGAGGGACAGTGCCCAGGCCCAGAGTTAAGGCCCATGACCAGACCCCCCTCACCAAAAACAAAAAGCTAAGGAAAACATATTAGCTTTCAAAAGGAATTTTTTTTGGGGGGTCTGGTTGTGAGGTCTGAACTCTAGGCCTGGGTGCTGTCCCTCAGCTCTTCAGCTCAAGGAGAGCGCTCTACCACTTGAGCCACAGCGCCACTTTTGGCTTTTTTTTTGCTTATGTGGTGCTGAGGAATCAAACCCAGGGCCTCAGGCATGAAAGGCAAGCGCTCTACCACTGAGCCACCTTCCCAGCCCTCAAAAGGAATTTGTTTTAGCTTTTGAAAAAGCTTTTTTTTTTTTGGCAGTACTGAAGTTTGAACTTAAGGCCTTGTACTTGCTAAGCTGCTGCAATACCACTGAGCCACCTCCTGCCCTGTTCTTTTTTTTTTTTTTTTTGTCGGTCGTGGGGCTTGAACTCTGGGCCTGGGCGCTGTCCCTCAGCTCTTCAGCTCAAGGCGAGCGCTCTACCACTTGAGCTACAGCGCCACTTCCGGTTTTCTGGTGGTTTATTGGAGATAGGAGTCTCACGGTCTTTCTTGCCCAGGCTGGCTTTGAACCGAGATCCTCAGATCTCAGCCTCCTGAGTAGCTAGGATTACAGGCGTGAGCCACCAGCGCCCAGCTAATCCTGCCCTGTTCTTTACTGGTTACTTTTAGGCTAAGGTCTTGCTTCCTGCCCTGCCTATGTTGCCAGGATCATAGGAGTGCACCACCACATCCCGCTTTCCCTGAACCCTGACATAGTCTTATGGCACAGATGGCTTGCCAGGGCAGAGATGGAGAAAGGCAGCAGTGAGCCTGTCTCACAGAGGCTAAGCCACCAACTACGTAGGCCACTGGGGGAAACCTGAGTCTCTGCTCCCACACTTACTTGGTTAGAACAATGGAGACTGCATCGTTGAGAATGCTTTCTCCAAACACCAGCATGTTGAGCACAGGGTCCACGTGCAGTGCATTGAAAATCGCAATGGTGGCCACTGGGTCCACAGCAGATATCAGGGAGCCAAATGCAAAGCTGGAGGCAGAGAAAAGGCAGGCTGGGTCTGTAAGGTGTGTTGCTCAGTCCACATGGTAAAGCATGCAGTCAACAACTCTTGCCACCACGTAGGTATGCACTGTAGCCAGCCCCAAAGTAAGATGGGGTATGCGCCCACCAACAGCAAAGGCTGACTATAAGAGCTGCTAGAACAGCCTGGTTTTCCACCAGCAGCACTGAGACTTTACTTTGACTAGCGATGGATACAAGACTTTGGCTTAAGTATCACACACTGCCCAGACTTCTTAGAGCGGACTAATGACCTACAACCTGCTAGTCTTTTGGAGGTTTTTTTGGTTGGTTATGGGGCTTGAACTCTGGGCCTGGGCGCTGTCCCTCAGCTCTTCAGCTCAAGGCGAGTGCTCTACTGCTTGAGCCACAGTGTCACTTCCGGTTTTCTGGTGGTTAAGTGGAGATAAGAATCTCATGGACTTGGTCTGCTTTGAACCATGATCTTCAGATCTCAGCCTCCTGAGTAGCCAGGATTACAGGCATGAGTCACCAGCACTTGGCACGACCTGCTGGTTTTGACCTCTGCTCTGCCACCTGCCACAGGCTACACAGTGTCACCTGTGAACAACCCCAGCCTCCATTCAACCTCTAAGATAAGTACCAAAGCCAACAGCAGCTCCAGCAGCTCCAGGCATGCAAAGCCCTCAGCCCCCTGCTGGCACAAGCCTGCAAGTTCACCATGCAGGAGAAGTCACCCCCATCCCTCTGTCACCCATGAGGTCTGTGGGCAATCAGGCCTCCATCTCAGAGAAAGGTTAGGCATGGCCCTTCTATCACATGGGGCAAACACACAGCTTCAGGGCCAGGCACTGTACTGGAGTCACCAGCCAGGGGCAGGAAGTGAGTCTTGCCACACTGAACAGCTCAGGAGAGGAGAGCTGCTGGCAGGAAGCATCTACTGCCTGGCCAGCCACACTGCTCTCATGGATCGGTAATGGGCTTCAGGCTTCCACAGAGGCTCCCTTGGAATGATTAACATGAGCCTGCAAATGCCAGGCTGAGGACTTTCAAGCCCACCCTGAGGTAACCACATGCATCTGAGCTCCAAGGGGTTTTCTGCTATGGGTGTCTCCCCAGGACCTGCAGAACACAGGCCAATACACTTGTGGGGGGGGGGAAAAAGTCTGGCAGAAAAGGGAGGGAAGATCCCCACCCCCACCCCCACCCCCAGCAGTGGGAGGTCCTGTTGGGCTGCTGCAGTCCTTAGGCCTTCTGCACTGCCACCTAGACCCAGAGCTGGCCTCTCCTTCCCTTTATCCTCACCCACAGCACCCAGAACAACATCACGAGGGACTATGAGGGAGGAGGACATGGCAGTAGGGTGAAGGCTGAGGCGGTTGTGCTACAGGCCAGCAGGGAGCTGTGAGGAGCCTCCAGCCCTCCTCTACTCTCCCAGGCAGCACCCCATCTCTGGTCTTGGGAGCATCATGCTGATTCTCCTCGGGGGGCTATACTCCCACACTTTGTATCACTGATGTCACACTGGGTTCCAGCTGTGAGCCTGGGGCCCAAGCTTGGACTGTGAAGACCATCAGCAATGTTGGGCCAGGTCATTAGTGACAGGTGGTCCTCAGTCAGGGAAGGCTGGGTGGGGTGAGGAGAACTGCTTCATGGGGTGAGAGCTGGGCTGAGACCAGCACACGGAAGGGGAAAAGTGCTCAACACTGGGCCCTGAAGGCACCCTGCCAAGCCCCCGCCCTGGGAACACTTCATCCTACATACTATGAAACAATCTTCTACTTAAACTGGCTTGTGTAGGTGTGAGCACAGAAAGCAGTGACGTACTTTGGCACAGAGGCTGTGGTATCCTTGGCCGGAATCAAGATCAGGAACCACAAGCACTGGAGCTGACGCTTGGGGCGAGGGGTGGGCAGGGGAAGGTGTGTGTGGGAGCAGACAGCAGGACCGGGACAGCTGAGGCAGCGGGCGGCGTGGCCCTCTACGGAGCCGCTCACCTCATCTTGTTGCCTGAAACGTCCCCTCAGTGTAAATCACATTAGCTCTCGCTAGGAATCTATATTGGGGGAGTATTTCTGATTTTGGACAGGAGGAACCTGACCAATCAGCTTCCCGAGTCCTCAACAGGCCTGTGTCTCAGGGTCACTCAGCTTGGCCAGCCGTGGTGCCATTCCCGCCTTCCTCATTTTAAAAAGCCAAAAGTCTCTGGGCACAAGTGGCTCAAGCCTGTTATCCTAACTACTCAGGAGACTGGAATCTGAATATCTTGGTTCAAAGCCAGCTCAGGTAGAAAAGTTTAACTCCAACAAATCAGCAAAAAACTGAAAGTGGAGGTGTGGCTCAAGTGGTAGAATACCAGCCTTAAGTGAAAAGCCAAGCAAGAATACAAGGCCAAGTTAAAGCCCCAGTACTGGTGCATGTATGCATGCATGCACGGAAACATACATACACACACACACACACACACACACACACACACACACACACACACACACACACACACACAGAAACTATAGGTTCAAATCAAAAATCTTCCTTTTCCTTTCCTCCTTTTTTTTCCATTGTCAGTACTGGGGCTTGGATTTGAGCCACACTTCTGGCTTTTTGCTGGTTCTCAAACATTTATCTGCCCAAGTTATCTCTAAATTTCAGTCCTCTGATTTCAACTTCCTGAGAAGCTAGGATTATAGATGTGAGCCATAGGAGCTTGGTTCATTTTTTTCTTTTTTCTGATTTTATTTTGTTACTTCAGCAGTACTAAGGCTGAATTCAGGGCTTTGAGCCTCCTCGGCTGGTATCATACCACTGACCCATACCTTAAGTCCTGTTTTTGCTGTATGTTGTTTTCTTTCTTTTTCTTTCCTTTCTTCCTCCTTTCTCTTTCTTCCTCCCTGCCCCCCCTCTTTTTTTCCAGATAGTCAGGCTTCCTGGTACCTGGTCTATGATCACCTAACTTTAGGCTGCTGAGATGCTGCTGCCAAATCTAGCTTCTTTCTGTTGAGACAGAGTCTCTCTCTCTCAGATCTTTCTGCCCAGGTTGGACTGGAACTACTCCTCCTAGTCTCAGCCTCCCACATGGCTTACGGTGGCAGAGACACACCACTGTGTCCAGCTACAGGTTGAGAAGGAGTCTTGAGAACTCTTCTGCCTGAGCTGACCTAGAACTTCAGTCTTCCTGATTCTAGCCTCCCAAGTGGCAAGTATCACAAGGAAAGACTCTGATGTCCAGCTTCTAGTTGAATTGTTTTGTTTTTTAAATATTTTTTATTGTAAAGATACAATTACATGAGTAAGGTAATGAGTACATTTCCTATTGAGCACTGTTACCCCTTTCCTTTGTTTTTCTCCTACCCTGAACTGGTTTTTCGTTTTGTTTTGTTTTGTGCTGATACTAAGGGGCTTGAACTCAGGGCCCAGGCACTCTGTCCCCTACCTTTTTTGCTCAAGGCTGGTGCTCTATCACTTGAGCAAGATCTCCACTTCTAGCTTTTTGGTGGCTAATTGGAGATAAAGAATCTTGTAGAATTTTTTGCCCAATCTGTTTTCAAACCTTGATCTTCAGATCTCAGCCTCCTGAGTAGCTAGGATTACAAGCGTGAGCCACCAGCATCTGGCCCATGTTTTTAGTTTTTTAAACACTTAGTAATGCTAGGCCACAAGTCCATGTGGCAAGTAGGGAGAGGAGCATGGTCACCCTTCAGCAGCAGCAGAGGCCTGTGGCCATGTCCTCCTCCCTCCTCTATTGACAACTCTGCCATCCTGAGGATGTGGATGTGTAGTCTAGAGCGGTCCCTGCCCATAGGACAGTCTCCTTTCAGAAGGAAAGGGAGAGTCTGTCTGCACAAGGCCAGAAAAACATTGCCTAGCTCTGTCCTGCTTGTCTAAGCACAACTTCACAAAAACATATCCAGCACCATCTGCATCTCTTGCCCATTGTCCCCAAACAGTTGCAGTATGAATTCTGTAACACTTTCCTGTACTTTTGATGGGTTGCAGACATTTCTATTTACAGAATATCTAGAAATACCAGGCACCAATTCTGCTTTGGCTCTAGCTCCAGGGGACAGTAATGCCACATTGGCTACTTGTTTTTGTTTTTTTTTTTTGTCAGTTGTGGGCCTGGGTGCTGTCCCTCAGCTCTTCAGCTCAAGGATAGCACTCTACCACTTGAGCCACAGCGCCACTTCTGGCTTTTTCTGTGTATGTGGTGCTGAGGAATTGAACCCAGGGCCTCATGCATGGGAGGCAAGCACCCTACCACTGAGCCACCTTCCCAGCCCGGCTACTTTTTTTTTTTTGTCGGTCATGGGGCTTGAACTCTGGGCTTCGGTGCTATCCCTGCACTCTTCAGCTCAAGGCGAGCGCTCTACAGCTTGAGCCTCAGCACCATTCCCGGTTTACTAGTGGCTAATTGGAGATAAGAGTCTCACAGACTTTCCTGCCCAGGCTGGCTTTGAACCTCAATCCTCAGATCTCAGCCTCCTGAGTAGCTAGGATTACAGGCGTGAGCCACTGGCACCTGGCTTGGCTACTTGGTTTTTTGTTTTGTTTTGTTTTTGTTGGTCGTGGGGCTTGAACTCTGGGCTTGGGAGCTGTCCCTGCGCTCTTTAGCTCAAGGCGAGAGCTCTGCTTGAGTCACAGTGCCACTTCCAGTTTTCTAGTGGTTTATTGGAGATAAGAGTCTCATGGACTTTCCTGCCCAGGCTGGCTTTGAACCCCAATCCCAGATCTCAGCCTCCTGAATAGCTAGGATTATAGGTGTGAGCCACCCGTGCTGGGGGGAGGGGGGGCTACTTGTTTTTATGTCAGGACTTTCTTATAAAAACAGGCAGAGGGTGTGTCTCAGGCACAGGATGTGGACCAGTGTGGTTTGAGTGGGATCAGACTTGTTATCAGAAGAACATTTCTGGGGGAGGGGATGGGAAGGGGAAACAAAGGAGGAGGCAACAATGCCTGATAAGAAATGTACTCATTATCTTGCCCATATAATTGTAACCTTTTTTTTTTTTTTTTTTTGTCGGTCGTGGGGCTTGAACTCTGGGCCTGGGCGCTGTCCCTCAGCTCTTCAGCTCAAGGCGAGCGCTCTACCACTTGAGCTACAGCGCCACTTCCGGTTTTCTGGTGGTTTATTGGAGATAGGAGTCTCACGGTCTCTCCTGCCCGGGCTGGCTTTGAACCGCGATCCTCAGATCTCAGCCTCCTGAGTAGCTAGGATTACAGGCGTGAGCCACCAGCGCCCGGCTAATTGTAACCCTTCTGTATATTATTTTCACAAAAAAGAAGGGCTGGGAAGATGGCTCAGTGGTATAGCGCTTGCTTTGCATGCCTGAGGCCCTGGGTTCGATTCCTCAGCACCACATAAACAAAAAGAAAAAAGCCGGAAGTGGCGCTGTGGCTCAAGTGGTAGAGCGCTAGCCTTGAGCTGAAGAGCTGAGGGTCAGCACCCAGGTCCAGAGTTCAGGCCCCACGACCGGACCCCCCCAAAAAAAAAGAAGAAGAAGAACATTTCCCAGGATGCAGCTAAAGACTGAAGCTCTTGGCAAGGCATGGTGGTACATGCTATAATCAAAGTGCTGGGGGATAGAGTTCAGAGGAAGGAGGACAGAGTTAAAGGTCACCCTGGGCTACACAGGGAGACCTTGTCATGCCTATGGTTCATGTCTGTAATCTTAGCCATTCAGGAGGCTGAGATCCAGAAGATTGTAGTTTGAAGCCAACCTGGAAAGAAATGTCCCTGAGATTCAATCTCCAAAATTACTAGCAAAAAGCCTATTCAGGTGGTAGAGTACCAGCCAAGCAAGCAAGCGGAGCAAGCAAGATTCCCTAAGTTCGAACCCCAGTACCAGACAAGAGAAACAAAAAAGACTAAAGCTCTGGCTACCCCACATGTAGGACTGAGAAAGAATACCCAGCCATACCACAAGATCACAGCAGGTAATGATGGTAGACACAGGAACACACAGCGAGGTGGTATGTGTTCAGGGAGGGCACACTTGGTCTGGGGCTTTTTTAGACCTAGAGCTGGTATCTAGACCCACAGCTCCTAGGATGCTTCTTGTTAAGCCAATTAAGAAAATTTCTGGACTAAATCCTGTAGAGAGCAGCTGCCTGCCCGTACTCACAGGGGCCCTGAAGGTCTAGAGGCCATGTACTACAACAGCCCTCCTCCCACAAGTGAATACCCTCTCATCCTTCAACTCCATCAACAAGAAGCCCACCTTCCATGGTGGTTATAGAGAAGGCTACAGAGTCAGTTGAGGCTGACTCTCAGCATTAACCAGAGGACTATGGTGCAGTATGTGTGGTGTGTGTACATGGGGGAGGAGTTGCTAAACAACATGCTCTGACTAGGGGCTTCCACACTCCCCATCGAATTTGATTCACTTCGGTGCCAAATTAATTCAAGAATGGACTGTACATCAGAACGTGGCAAGCAAAGGGACAAAGGAAGGGCCACACCCTGGAAGCAATGTAAGGAAAACGTCCCAGTCTAAACAGCAGTTGCAAGGGTTACAGTGTGAAGGATTTACCTGTCTGTCATGTTGAGTTTAGAGATTACATCAGCCTGTAAAATAAAACACACAAACACACAGACACAAAAAACCCCTTGGAGAACAGCCAAGAAGATTGAAATGGCATTAGTGCTTTATTAACAACTAATAAGGACATTCATCTTCACTCCCCAAATTGGAAAACTAAAGAAAACCCACATGTTCTAGTGAGAAGTGCATGGCACCATGTGGCCCAGGTATGGGACAGAAGGCTGAAGCTGCAGCCTCCTTCTCTATAGTACATTCTCTTTGATGCTAGAAGCTGAGCAATGAAGAAAGTTGCACGACAGATCTGTCCTGGAGCCGTGGAGGCAGCAGGGAGGCAAATGCCAGCTGGAATGGCTCTGGCCATCAAAAGAACAACATGGCTGCCAAACTAAGAGCTATCTGCTCATCACTGGGTGATGAGCCTCAACTTTCTACCACTGAACTAACAGGAAAAGAAGTGGGCTGTGCAGGGACATGCAGAATGCGAATCTAGACAATACCTTCCTAGTGTTTAGCCCAATCTAAAGGAAATTAACTCACAGTAGAATGTACAGCACCCAACGTGCCACTGCAAATCGTTTCCAAAGGTGGAAAATCCAGAGCTATGAATTCTACAGTGGACGGCTGAGAATTGAGTGATCAGATTCAGAATCGTCGTTCACTGAAAACACTTACTTTATTAAAGAGCAACTTTCAAATCCTGATTCAGTCTACCCAACATCAGAGGTGGGAAACTGACTTGTTTTTAGGTGTTCCAATTTAAGAAAGTATTGGTAGGGCTGGGAAGGTGGCTCAGTGGTAGAGCGCTTGCCTTGCATGCATGAGGCCCTGGGTTCGATTCCTCAGCACCACATAAGCAAAAAGAAAAAAAGCCGGGAAGTGGCGCTGTGGCTCAAGTGGTAGAGTGCTAGCCTCGAGCTGAAGAGCTGAGGGACAGTGCCCAGGCCCAGAGTTCAGGTCCCACGACCAGACCCCCAAAAAAAAGAAAGTATTGGTTTGCAGATAGAATCATGTATTTGGGAAAATAAAGAGGAAAAAGAATAACTCAATTCCAGATAGCACAGTTCTTGGGACACCTAGAACAACGTCTGTTGCTTCTGCCAAGCAGTAGTAGTGAAGGCTGAGAAGAGCTTTCCTCCCAGGAGGGCGCCTACTCCCACCACAAGCCCCACCCACCAGCTTGCACTATAGAATTTCAGTGACTTTCAAAGAGGTTTTTCCTTACCTGACCCAGAAAATAAATTCCTCCACCTACTACAAAAGCAGAGATCGCCGTACCAAAAACAGCAAACAGGGTGATGGAACCAATATTTTGAAAGAAGTTACCCTGTTTGAAAGAGCAGACAGCATAGAAACAAGTTAGAGAAGCTAGCCTAGTCAGCAAAAAGGGCAAAGGCACCCTGACCTCCCAGTGCTGTGGGCTGGACACCTGAGTGCTCCTCTACCCACCCCCACTGTAGTGTGGCAGCGCCTGTTACTCCACTCCCTGCTTCCCTCCCATCCTTGTCTCCCACACCACCTCCCAAGTGTTTCCAGCCCTTTCCCTCCTTTCTCTAATGCTTCCAATATTTCCACTTATATTCAGAATGCAGATAAATCCTAGCCCTGGTCAGGTGGTGGTGGCTCACACCTGTAATCCTAGCCACTCAGGAGGCTGAGATCTGAGGATCACAGTTCAAAGCCAGCCTGGGCAGGAACCTCCATGAGACTCTTTTTTTTTTTTTTTTTTGGGAGGTCCGGTGGTGGGGCCTGAACTCTGGGCCTGGGCGCTGTCCCTCAGCTCTTCAGCTCAAGGCTAGCGCTCTACCACTTGAGCCACAGGCCACTTCTGGCTTTTTTCTTTTTGCTTATGTGGTGCTGAGGAATCGAACCCAGGGCCTCAGGCATGCAAGGCAAGCGCTCTACCACGAGCCACCTTCCCAGCCCCCTCCATGAGACACTTTTATTTTTTTTTTGGGTCCGGTCGTGGGGCCTAAACTCTGGGCCTGGGCGCTGTCCCTCAGCTCTTCAGCTCAAGGCTAGCGCTCTATCACTTGAGCTACAGCGCCACTTCTGGCTTTTTGCTTATGTGGTGCTGAGGAATCGAACCCAGGGCCTCATGCATGCAAGGCAAGCGCTCTACCACTGAGCCACCTTCCCAGCCCCTCCATGAGACTCTTATCTCCAATAAACCACCAGAAAACCGGAAGTGGCGCTGTGGCTCAAGTGGTAGAGCATTCACCTTGAGCTGAAGAGCTGAGGGACAGCACCCAGGCCCAGAGTTCATGCCCCACAACAACATTAACAACAGAAAGAAAGAAAGAAAATAAGAAAGGAAGAAAGAAAATAAGAAGGAAAGAGAAAGAAAGAAAGAAAGAAAGAAAGAAAGAAAGAAAGAAAGAAAGAAAGAAAGAAAGAAAAGAAGAGAAAAGAAAAGAAAAGAAAAGAAAAAAGAAAAGAAAAGAAAGAGAAAATCCGAATCCTGGCTGTACCCAGGAGGCCGCTGAGCTCCTCTGGCAGCTGGCTGTCTGCTTCCCTGAGTTCCAGCCACTTAGGCACGGAGAGTTTACAGGCATGGAGAGTGTCACGGGCATGGAGAGTTTCCATCACTCCTCCTGAGAAAAGCCTTCCTTGATCCTGGTCCCTGAGCAGCCAAGTTCTGCTCTGCTCTCGATGCCCAGCTGCATTTCTCCATTTACCTCTGGAATAGTTAACCAACCCTGTCTCTCCTATGAGGAAAAGGCTCAGCTTTGTACAGCAGTCACTGATACAATGTCCAATGGAAGATGCCCAATACACAGATACTGCAGGAATCCACCTGTGCTTCACAGCTGATCATGGTCCAAAAATTGTACAATTACACTCTCTTCTTCCTGCTGTCCAGGTCTTTAAAGTACTCCTATCTTTTTTAATCACTATCATCATCAAAAATATCCTATACAAATAGCACAGAGATACCACCCAAGCTTCCCCAGGATTAGGACATAGGCTCATTAGAATCTCTATGGGCTCCACTCAGGAACCACCATCAAAGGGCCTGGATGACCCTGGGTTGGTGGTGTGGAAGAGAATGAGTCTTTTGCTCAGAAACTATCAGGCCACCAAGAGCCTGTGTGCAAGCTCACTTCCCAGGAGCCTGTGTGCAAGCTCAATTCCCAGGAGCCTGTGTGCAAGCTCACTTCCCAGGAGCCTGTGTGCAAGCTCACTTCCAAGGAGAGAGCGTCCTGACACCCCCAGGCAGCCTGCTGAGTCACTGCCTGTGGGAGACTGCGTGCACTAGGGCCAGCTGGCCAAGACTGACCCAGCTGCCCTTGGGTCTTCAGCTGATGCCTATGCTGGCACATCAATCTCCAGGGCACAGAGAATTTTAAAACCTCTTAAGGCAAACATAGTGACATGTCTTAGTTCTTTCTACATAAAGTACTTTCATCTATGAGTTTTTCTTGGCAGATAGCAGCCTTATTTTTTTTTATTTTTATTTTTTTGCCAGTCGTGGGGCCTGAACTCTGGGCCTGGGCACTGTCCCTCAGCTCTTCAGCTCAAGGCTAGCGCTCTACCACTTTGAGCCACAGCACCACTTCCAGCTTTTTCCGCTTATGTGGTGCTGAGGAATCGAACCCAGGGCCTCATACATACAAGGCAAGCACTCTACCACTGAGCCACTTTCCCAGTCCCAGCAGCCTTATTTTTTAAGTTTAAAAATAGACTTGATCACTCAGTTTTGATCTGTTTATAGGGATCTAACTGTGGTAGAGTTAGTTAATCTGGATGCAGAGATCTACACAAATTCTAGCCATCCCATTAACAAATTGTCCCACAAAGCCAAGTGTTTCCCTCTGACATGATTAGCACCCAGTTCCTTACAGGACATTTTTTGAGAATGGATAACTGCCTGCTTAGTGTATATCTGCTGAAGGTAATTTCACTGAAGCGTATTCCAAGTGCAGGTTCCCATTGACAAACTGTCATTTTATCCAGACACTGAAGGCTCATACCTGTAATCCTACCTACTCAGGAAGTCAAGATCTAAGGATCATAGTTTAAAGCTAGCCTGGGCAGGAAAGACCATGAGACTCTTATTTCCAATTAACCATCAAAAAGCTGGAAGTGGGGCTGGGAAGCTGGCTTAGTGGTAGAGAGGAAAAAGGTAAGCAAGAACATGAGGCCCTGAATTCAAATCCCAACACACACACACACACACACGTACATACACACACAAAATCTACCTTTTGACCCTTTCTTTGGATGGATACAACTTATTGGAAAGCTAGGTGCCTGTGATGCCTGTATCCTACCTACTCAGGGGACTGAGATCTGAGGATCACAGTTCCAAGCCAGCTCAAGCACAAAAGTCTGTGAGACTCTTATCTTCAATTAACTACTCAGAAAAAGCCAAAAGTGGCGCTATGGCTCAAGTAGCACCAAGAGACTCAACGACAGTAGCCAGGCCCTGAGTTCAAGCTCCAGAACTGTCAAAAATAAGTAATAAAAATTAGATTGAGAGCTGGAAAGGTGGCTCAGTGGTAGAGTTCTTGCCTTGCATGCATGAGGCCCTGGGTTCGATTCCTCAGCACCACATAAGCAAAAAGAAAAAAGCCGGAAGTGGCGCTGTGGCTCAAGTGGTAGAGCGCTAGCCTTGAGCTGAAGAGCTGAGGGACAGCGCCCAGGCCCAGAGTTCAGGCCCCACGACCGGACCCAAAAAGAAAAAAAAGAAAAAAAAAAAAGCAACACTGGAAAAAAGAGTTTTGGATTTTCTTCTTTTGCGCTTGTGCTGGGGCTTGAACTAAAGGCCTGGGTGGTGTCCCTCAGCTCTTTTGCTGAAGGCTAGGACTCTACCACTTTGGGCCACAGCTCCACTTCTAGTGGACATCAGTAGCTCACGCCTATAATCCTATCTACTCAGGAGGCTGAGATCTGAGGATCGCTATTCAAAGTCAGCCCGTAGAAAAGTCTGAGACTCTTATCTCCAATTAACCACCAGAAAACTGGAAGTGGCACTATGGCTCAAGTGGTAGAGCACTTACCTTGAACTGAAGAGCTGAGGGACAGCACCCAGGCCCAGAGTTCAAGCCCTACAACTGACCAAAAAATAAAAAACAAAGAACAACCACCCCACCTCCCATCCCTCCCGGCCGCGCCCTTCCCCCCTCCCCCCATCCTCAGATCTCAGATTCTGAGTAGCTAGGATTACAGGTGTGACCCTCTGGCACCCGGTTGTGGTTTTCTTTTTAATTTTGTATACTAACAAGGAGCCTGCAGGGGGCAGCACTTGATCAGAATCACATTTCCTGGGCTCCAAAAGTGCATGCTCTTCCTCTCCAATGGTTGCTCTTTTTAGTCCTTCCAACATCACATTAAAAATCACATTCACAAAATACTTGCTCCATTACTACTGTAAACTGAACCTATTTATTTTACTTTGTTTTATTTTATTTGCTGATCCTAGAGCTTGAATCTGTGCCTAGGTGCTGTCCCTGAGCGCCTCTGGCTCAAGGCTAGCACTATACCACTTGAGCCACAACACCAATTCTGGCTTTTTCTGTGATTAATTGGGGATAAGTGTCTCATGGACTTTCCTGCCTGAGCTGGCTTTGAACCACGATCTTTAGTAGCTGATCTGAGTAGCTAGGATCTGAGTAGCTAGGAATACAGGAGTGAGAAAATGTCACCTGGCTGAAATTAGTTAATTTTAAAAATGATTATTCTCTTTAAGTGCCTTTAAAGAAAATTCACACAAAGCTGGGCACCCATGGCTCACGCCTGTAATCCTAGCTACTCAGGAGGCTGAGATCTAAGGATCACGGTTCAAAGCTAGCCCAGGCAGGAAAGTATGTGAGACTCTTATTTCCAATAAACCACTAGAAAACTGGAAGTGGCGCTGTGGCTCAAGTGGTAGAGTGCTTGCCTTGAGCTGAAGAGCGCAGGGAGAGTGCCCAGGCCCAGAGTTCAAGCCCCATGACCAACAAAAACGAAAAAAGAAAAGAAAAGAAAATTCACACAGAGTCAAGCGGAAAAAGTCAGAGAATGTGATGTTAGGAAAACGAACCCTCAAATATGTATTTTAATGTTTTTGTTTCTTTCATGCATGTGTTTCTAACGCATTTATAAGATTATTTCTTTGTTGCTTTGTATGTCCCTCCCCCACAGTGTAACCCCGGCTTTCACTATATTTGATGTCAGTATAACATGTGGAGGAGACGGGGACAAACAAGTCGTTTAAGGATTCAAGTGGACCTGTTGCAACAATGAGAAGTACAAAATGTCATGTCAAAACCAGCTTTACAATGTCGGTTGGGGGGGGAGGGGGGAGGCTGGGAAGGGAGGTGAAGGGTAAACAAAGGAGGAGGCTGCAATGCTTGGTAAGAAATGTATGCATTATCCTGCCCATGTAATTGTAACCCCTCTGTACAGTATGTTCTCAAATAAAATAAAATTAAATTAAAAAAAAAAAATTCACACAGAGGCTGGGAATGTGGCTTGGTGGAGTGCTTGCCTAGCATACATGAAGCCCTAGGTTCAATTCCTCAGTACCACATAAACAGAAAAAGCTGGAAGTGGCCCTATGACTTAAGTAGTAAGAGTGCTAGCCTTGAACAAAAGAAGTTCAGGGACAAAGCCCAGGCCTTGAGTTCAAGCCCCAGAAGAAAGAAGGAAGGAAGGAAGGAAGGAAGGAAGGAAGGAAGGAAGGAAGGAAGGAAGGAAGGAAGGAAGGAAGGATGGAAGGAAGGAAGGAAGGAAGGGAGGGAGGGAGGGAGGGAGGGAGGGAGGGGGGGAGGGAGGGAGGGAAGGAGGGAGGGAGAGAGGGAGGGAGAGAGGGAGGGAGGGAGGGAAAGGAAGGGAGGGAGGGAAAGGAAAGGAGGGAGGGAAAGGAAGGGAGGGAGGGAGGGAGGGAAGGAAGGAAAAGAAAAAAAAGAAAGAAAATTCACGCAGAAAGGTAAACCAGGCACATAAGCAAATTTAAAAGCAGCAGCTCTAGCCTGGTAGGAAGTGTGATGGGGGACTGGAGGTCAGAAGACAGCAAGCAGCAGGGCCAGGACAAAGCAGAGCCTAAGCAGAGCCTATGATGTTATTGGCCAGCCTTCCATCCAGGACGCAGAAACAGGGCAGACCAACTGTGGAATGAGGTGTACAGGCCAGAAGAGCTGGAAGCCTAGGGAAGGATGGGACCCCAGCCTGGTAAAGCCAGTGTCAGAGAGAGGGAGAGACTAGGGATAATGGGGGCTATCAGGACAGTGCCCAGGACAGGGCACTGAGAAGAGAGACAAGGAAGGGAGGAAGGGTCCAGGAAGGCAGAAGGCCTCTCAGGGTAAACTGAGAGGCGGTGCCTCAGGAACATGTATGTGTCCCTCTGGCTGCAAGCCCAATCTGTTCCTTAATATGTTTGGCCCACTTTGGCCATCTTTCCTGGTGCAGCGCCCTTCAATGGACATGCAAGCTCAATAGGTCAAACCACCTGACACCATGGGAGCAGACAATCAATCCAGCGTATCGGTGCTCTCCGAAAGCTCGAAGGCACAAAGTTATCAGTGCTAAATGAACAGCCTAATTCTTAAGGTTCATGCTTTGCAGACAGAAGAGAAACCACTCAGACCTGCATCTTACCTTGTGTAAGGAGTACCCAGACTCAAAGATGATAGGCGGAAGCAAAAGGAGAAAAAACATGTTTGGACGGAACATTTCTTCCTCCTATAAATACAAGGTGCATATTTTTAGAAGCAAGGATTTTGTTGTTGTTGTTCTTGTCATGCTGGTCCTGAGGCTTGAACTCAAGGCTTGGACACTATCCCTGAACTTTTTTTTTTTTTTTTGGATCCGGTTGTGGGCCTGAACTCTGGGCCTGAGCGCTGTCCCTCAGCTCTTCAGCTCAAGGCTAGTGCTCTACCACTTGAGCCACAGTGCCACTTCCGGCTTTTTTTTTCTGCTTATGTGGTGCTGAGGAATTGAACCCAGGGCCTCATGCATGCAAGGCAAGCGCTCTACCACTGAGCCACCTTCCCAGCCCCACCCTGAACTTTTTTTTATTCAAAGCTAGCGCTCTTCTACTTGAGCCACAGCATCACTTCTGACTTTTTCTGAGTAGTTAATTGGAGATAGAGAGTCTCACAGACTTTCCTGCTAGGGCTTGCTGCAAACCCCGATCCTTAGATCTCAGCCTCCAGAGTAGGTATGATAACAGGGATTAGCTCATAGTACCCAGCATTAAGCATAGGATTTTTACAACTAAGAAATCAATTCACCAGTAAAGAGCTGAAACAATTTTTCTCTTGAGGCCTGACTCAGCACAAATGACTGATAATAAAACCAAGCAGACACACCTTCTGCCCCCCAAATTAAACTGCATCTAAAATACAGGCCAAGTGATTCCAAAGGGTGACCGCATGAGGGTGGCATGGCCTGTGTGTATATACCCCCAAGTCAGTGTACTTAGTAGTGAGCAACTCATTTCAACATAGAAAATTTCAATCCATGAACCACAGTTGAAAAACCAAATCTACAAGCTGGAGCCTTCTAGGAAAAATGGTTTGTTCTTCCCAGCACTCAGGAAGCAGAGACAGGATTTTGAATTTGAGGCCAGCCTGAGCTACACAGCAAGACTCTTTAAAAACAGAAACCAGCCTGCCTACCAAGTAGCTCAGCCAGAAACAAGCAGCTCAGCCACACTCCTATGTCAGACTGTGCTGTGACTGGGGAAGTGGCCATGACTCCCTGGCCAGGCTTTCAGACTTGACCGTGAAGTAACATTAGGCTAGGCAATCTAGAATACAGTCGTCATTGGGGAAGAAACAGTCAAAATTTCATTTTCTACACCTAAGGTCCTCAAGCCTACATGAAGGCAATCTGTCATACTAGGCTATATAATACTGCAGTCAAACCCCCTTTCCTATATTTCCTGTCACATCCTGATAGCCAGATTTCTGATCAGAATCCTATCCATAACATATTCTTACTAATGTTCATCTGTTATCATAAAGACTGAGATAGTATTCAAAAAAAGGTGTCAAAGTCAGGTCCCGGTGGCTCACATCTGTAATCCTAGCTACTCAGGCTGAGATCTGAGGATAGCGGTTCAAAGCCAGCCCAGGCAGGAAAGTCTGTGAAATTCATCTCTGATAAACCACTAGAAAACAGGAAGTGGCGTTGTAGCTCAAGTGGTAGAGCACTCACCTTGAGCTGAAGAGCTGAGGGACAGTGCCCAGGCCCAGAGTTCAAGCCCCACGAACGACCAAAAAAAACAAAACAAAACAAAAACGAAGAAGAAGGGGGTCATGCCCACTACCACAATCTAAAAGAAGCAGAGAATGGCGCCTTTCTGACATTTGGATATCCAACCTTGCCCTTAAAACTAGTTTTTTGGGGTTTTTTTGCCTTTTAATACGTTTTTTTATTTTAAAAATACTGTAAAGAGGGGTTACAGTTACATGAGTAAGGAAATGAGTACATATCCTATCAAGGATTGTTACTTCCTCCTTTGTTTTCCTCTACTATCCCTTCTTTCCTCACCTCCCCAACTCTTCCCTCCTTCCCCCCAAAAAGGTGTATAGTTTATTTTCCGCATAGTGTTTCTTTTTTTTTTTTTTTAATTTTATTGTCACAGTGATGTAGAGCGGGGTTACAGTTACATAGAAGTTTTTTTTTGTTTTTGAGCCTGTCCTGGGGCTTGAACTCAGGTGCCGTTCCTGTTTTTTTTTTGCTCAAGGACAGTGCTCTACCACTTCCATAACAGCTTCATTTCCAGGTTTTTTTTGGTGCTTAAATGGAGATAAGGGTCTCATGAACTTTCTTGCCTGGGCCAGCTTTGAACCATCCTCAGATCTGAGTAGCTAGGATTACTGACATGAACCACCTGTGCCTTCTACATTTTTTTTTTTCTGTCGGTTGTGGGGCTTGATCTCTGGGCCTGGGCGCTGTTCCTCAGCTCTTCAGCTCAAGGCAAGTGCTCAACCACTTGAGCTACAGCGCCACTTCAGGTTTCCTAGTGGTTTATTGGAGATAGGAGTCTCACGGTCTTCCTGCCCAGGCTGGCTTTGAACTGAGATCCTCAGATCTCAGCCTCCTGAGTAGCTAGGATGACAGGTGTGAGCTACCAGCACCCGGCTACATTTTTTTTTTTTTTCAGTTGTGGAACCTGAACTCTGGGCCTGGGTCCTGTCCCTCAGCTCTTCAGCTCAAGGCTAGCGCTCTACCACTTGAGCCACAGCGTCACTTCCGGTTTTTTTCTTTTTGCTTATGTGGTGCTGAGGAATTGAACCCAGGGCCTCAGGCATGCAAGGCAAGCGCTCTACCACTGAGCCAACTTCCCAGCGTCCCCACAATTTTTTTTTTGTGCTAGTCTTGGGGCTTGAACGGCTTGGGTACTGTCCCTGACTTTTTGTGCTTAAGGATAGTGCTCTACCATTTGAGACATAGCTCCAATTCTAGGGTGTTTTGTGGGATTTTTTTGTTTGTTTTTTGGCAGTTGTTTGGATATAAAAATTTCATAGACTTTCCTGCCTGGGCTGGCTTCAAATCTCCATCCTCCGATCTCAGCTTCCTGAGTAGCTAGGATTATAGATGTGAGCCACTAGCTCCCAGCTATAAAGTATTTATTTAAAACTGAAGTGGAGACCTGGGCACTGGTGGCTCATGCCTTAATCCTAGCTACTCAAGAGGCTGAGATTTGAGGATTGCTGTTCAAAGCCAGCTGGGCAGGAAAGTCCATGAAATTCCATTCCAATGAATCACCAGAAAACTGGAAGTGATGTTGTAGCTTAAATTGGTAGAGTGCTAGCATTGAACTGAAGAGCTGAGGGACAGCACCCGAGCCCAGAGTTCAAGCCCCATGACCAACAAAAAAAACTGAAGTAGAAGTGTGGCTCAAGTGGTACAGGGCTTGCATTAAGCAAAAGAAACTCAGGGAAAGCACCCAGCCCCTGGGTTCCAGCCCTAGGGTGGACATCCCCTCTCCCTCCGCCCACAAAACTGCTAAAAATAGCCAGGCACAGGGGCTCATATCTGGAATCCTAGCTGCTTGGGAGGATCAAGATGAATAGCCTGGGAAAAAGTTCATGAGATCTATCTCAACCAGTAAAAGCTGGGTGTGGTGATATGCACCTGTCATTTCTGCAGGAAGTATGAATCAGAAGATGGTGGTCTAAACTATCCCAAATATAAATGCAAGACCCTATGTGAAAAATAACTAAAGCAAAAAAGGTCTGGGGGCATGGCTCAAGTTTTAGAACACCTACCTAACAAGCAGATGACAGTACAGGTGGGAAGTGGGCCAGAGAGGACAATCTTCACCGAAGGAAATACTTTACTGTTTCCCTGCAGGAAACACCCTGAACATGCAGTTTCTGGACTGGTATCCTGCTTCTGGCTCAACTCCACAGCTGCCTGCTCCCCAGGACACCACCCCCATCAGGCCTAGGAAGCTCGCCTGGCTTGGCCTGGCCTGAGGTCAGTGACTGCTGCCAGGGCTCTTTAAGTATTTAATCCCTCTCCTTCACACAGCCCACTCAGCTGTCTACATTGACAAATGATCTATTGTTTTATCCTGGAAAGGAACACACACTGGGAAATAAATCTTCTCACCCTGAAGCAGGTGAAATGAAAAGACTGCCTCCTCTCCCTTCTCAGCACCTAGAGCAGAGGCACAAAGGCCGAGGTTTCCCATGGCACTGTCATCGCCTAACCTGACCACTGCTGGGCTGTTGAGAGTTTCTGTTTTTTCCAAGAGAACCTAGAAGTCAGATCTTTTTTTTTTTTTGGGTCCGGTCGTGGGGCCTGAACTCTGGGCCTGGGTGCTGTCCCTCAGCTCTTCAGCTCAAGGCTAGCACTCTACCACTTGAGCCACAGCGCCACTTCCGGCTTTTTTCTTATGTGGTGCTGAGGAATCGAACCCAGGGCCTCGAGCATGCAAGGCAAGTGCTCTACCATTGAGCCACCTTCCCAGCCCAAAGTCAGATCTTACGTGAAACCCCTAGGATTTTATGGAAATTAATAGTATCTTAAAACCAAAATAGCACCAGGCGCCAGTGGATCACGCCTGTAATCCTAGCTACTCAGGAGGCTGAGATCTGAGGATCACGGTTCAAAGCCAGCCTGGGCAGGAAAGACCGTGAGACTCCTATCTCCAATAAACCACCAGAAAACCAGAAGTGGCGCTGTGGCTCGAGTGGTAGAGCGCTCACCTTGAGCTGAGGAGCGCAGGGACAGCGCCCAAGCCCAGAGTTCAAGTCCCACGACTGACCAAAAAAAAAAAAAAAAAAAAAATCTTTGGTCAGTCATGAAAAAAAAAAATCTTTGGTCAGTCATGAGGCTTGAACTCTGGGCCTGGGCGCTGTCCCTGTGCTCTTCAGCTCAAGGTGAGCGCTCTACCACTCACTTCTGGTTTTCTGAGTGGTTTATTGGAGATAAGGTCACACGGACCTTCCAGCCTGGGCTGGCTTTGAACCGCTATCCTCAGATCTCAGCCTTCTGAGTAGCTAGGATTACAGGCGTGAGCCACTGGCGTCCAGCTCCAAAATAACAATTTTAATGCTTTTTGCCTTTTTGTATATGTACCAGTACAGGGGCTTGAACTCAGGGTCTCACTATCTCACTTGGCTTTTTTATTCATAGCTGGCATTCTACCACATGAGCCACAATGCCAATTTTAACTTTTAAATCAATTCAATAACATTTTTTTTGGCCAGGTTCTGGTGGCTCATACCTGTAAGCCTAGCTACTCAGGAATCTGAGATCTGAGGATCACAGTTTGAAGCCAGACCAGGCAGAAAAGTTCATAATACTCTTGACTCCAATTAAACACCAAAAAGGAAAAAATGGTACTATGGATCAAGTGGTAGAGTGCTGGCCTTGAATGAAAAAGCTAAGGAACAGAACTGAGGTCCTAAGTTCAAGTCTCAGTACCAGAACAAAAAAAAATTACTTTGGCAATATTGAATTTGAACTCAGGTCCTTGGGCTTGCTAGGCAGGTGTTCTACTTCTGAGCCATGCCCCAGACTTTACCTCAAATTTTGATCATTTACTTTTAGTATTCATGAATTCCTTTAGTTTTTGCTGTGAAGTGTTTTAGTTTTGCAATCAGTTGTCAATATTAGTTTTTCTGAGTACACCAGATTGGGTTGGAAATTGTTGTTCAGAACTTGAATGATCAATCAGGTATGAATTATTTTAAATAAAATAAAGTGGGCAGGTGGATGACATAGACACAAGAGCCCAGGACTTGCGAATTTGCAGCCTGCAGCCCCCTTTAGAAAGAACCCTTGGAGCCGGGCGCTGGTGGCTCACGCCTGTAATCCTAGCTACTCAGGAGGCTGAGATCTGAGGATCGCGGTTCAAAGCCACCCCAGGCAAGAAAGACCGTGAGACTCCTATCTCCAATAAACCACCAGAAAACCGGAAGTGGCGCTGTAGCTCAAGTGGTAGAGCGCTCGCCTTGAGCTGAAGAGCTGAGGGACAGCGCCCAGGCCCAGAGTTCAAGCCCCACGACCGACAAAAAAAAAAAAGAAAGAAAGAAAGAACCCTCGGGATGAGCCCCTTTAACAAAACAGACCAGTGAAAACACTGGGGACAAAGTGCTCTTCTGGTTCTTCCCTCAACGTCAGCCCAGAGAGAAGTCTAGAAATACTAGGAGTCCCACATACACTCTGGAATTCACTGATACAAGGATTATCTCCTGGGTACTAGTATTTGTTTCTTGGTATTATTTTATAATAGACTATGAGACCCTGGGTTCGATTCCTCAGCACCACATAAACAGAAAAAGCCGGAAGTGGTGCTGTGGCTCAAGTGATAGAGAGCTAGCCTTGAGCTAAAGAGCTGAGGGACAGCGCCCAGGTCCAGAGTTCAGGCCCCAAGACTGACAACAAACAAACAAAAAGAGAAGATTACCAGGCTGAAATTAAAATTTGGATTTCAAGCAGTTTTTGTATTTCCAGATGCTGTTTATACCCTAATGGCCACCATGCAAACACAAGGACATGCACACCAGTAAACCAAGGGCAGCGCAGTGTAGTGGAGGAAACACTGACTATCCAAGCCAGCGCGTGTGAACACAAGACAGCTCAGCTATATCCTGGCTCTGACCTAGCCCTGACAACGTGCATGTCCCAGGCTCCAGGAACCTCTTCCTTCACTGTAGTGAGGTGAGGATTTACCTTTCTGACCAGGCCATCGAGATATCAATAGTAGTTGAATCTATAAAGTGCTGAAGCTCCACACTGCTAGACAAACACCTCCTATTACTGTCACCAGTCTGAATGTAACCAGAGCAATAAATGTTTCTCATGTCCAGTGTTAGTTTTTTCTCCACAAGGTGAGTCCAGTGATATAAAAATGGAAGAAACAGTCAGAGGTTAGTGGCTCACACCTGTAGTCCTAGGTACTCAGGAGGCTGAGATCTAAGGATTGCAGCTACGAGCTAGCTCCAGCAGGAAAGTCCATGAGACTCTTACAAACAATTAACCATTCAAAAACCGGAAATGGAGTTGGGCTCAAAGTGGTAGAGTGCTAGCCTTGAGCAAAAAGAGCTCAGGGACAGCACCCAGGCCCTGAGTTCAAGCTCCAGGATTGGAAAAACAACCACCATGACATGAAACATAACACTAGGTGTTTCTGTGTTCACGTGGAACAGGGTGGGGGGTTGTGCTTTTTCAAAAAACCCAGGTATTAAGATATCTACCCAAATACACTAGAATGTTTAAAAACTAGCAGGACAGGATAGAAGTGTGGCTCCAGAGGCAGAGCACCTGCCTGCCTGGCAGGTGAGAGGCCCTGACTTTAAACCCTAGTACCACATCCATATATACATATATTAGGTTATATATAAAAAACACTTGGGCTGAGAATGTAGCTTAGTGGAAGTGTTTGCTTAGCATGCTTAGTCCTGGGTTCAATTCCTCAGTACCATATGAACAGAAAAAGCTGCAAGTGGTGCTGCGACTCAAATGGTAGAGTGCTAGCTTTGAGCAAAAAAAGTTCAGGGACAGTGCCCAGGTCCTGAGTACAAGCCTCAGGACTGGCAAGAGTAAAAACCAAAACAAAAAAACACCCAATAGCATGTGCTTGGTGGCTCACACCTGTAATTCTATCAATTTGGGAAACTAAGATTCAGAGGATCACAATTTGAAGATAGTCCAGGCAGAAAAGTCTCCAATTAATCAACAAAAAGTTAAAGGTATAGCTCAAGGGTTAGAACTCCAGCCAAGCAAGCAGGCAAACAAGCAGAGTAAGTGCAAGGCTCTGAGTTTAAATGCAGATATCAGTCAAACAAAATCCTCCAGATACCCTAAGGGGTTTGGCATTGACAATCAAGTAATGATAGCCAGCAAAAACACTGATGTTAAAGAAACTAACTACAACCACAAGTTGTGATTGCATTACAAAACAAAGAGGTTAACAAGCTTACCTTCCAATTTGCCAGTTTTTTAAACTCTATAATTTTTATCACTGCTCCCATGAGAATACCTAGAAGGAACAACAGAAAGCCCAATATAAGATATAACAAAGATTACTCCAGTTTATTCTACATTTTGTATCTCTCAATGGTCTTCATGGAGTTCTGAGTTTTATGATTAAAACAGGAAGGGGAATTGGTGTGAAGTATTAGGAGTCATCTGAGTTTCTCAACTGCCTCTCAAACACACTCTGATAAAGTCTACAGAAATATGTGAGGGTGGGGGCGGGGTGGGAGAGAAGGGGGAATAAGTTCTACAAGGAAATTTGGCCTAGATTGGAAGATGTGCCAGCTTCTGCCATTCTTCCTACCTCCACCCACTTTTAATGTTAAACAGTAGAAACTCACAAGTCAGATTTATCCTCTGCTGCTTATTGCTAGTTACAAAAAAAAAAAAAAGGCCAATGCTTGGTAGCGCATGCTATAATCCCAGTCTAGCTTACAAAACAAAACAAAAAATTCCCAAAATAACCATGATCACTTTCTCAGGTTCTTTGTTGAATTTTTTTTGTCGGTCGTGGGGCTTGAACTCTGGGCCTGGGCGCTGTCCCTTAGCTCTTCAGCTCAAGGCGAGTGCTCTACCACTTGAGCTACAGTGCCACTTCCAGTTTTCTGGTGGTTTATTGGAGATAGGAGTCTCACCGTCTTTCCTGCCGGGGCTGGCTTTGAACCGCGATCCTCAGATCTCTGCCTCCTGAGTAGCTAGGATTACAGGCGTGAGCCACCAGCGCCCGGCTTGTTGAATTTCTAGTTAGAGATAAAACCCAGGAGGATCAAGGTTCCAGACCAGCTCAAGCATACTGTAAGGCTACTTCTCAACCAATAGCTGGGCATAGTGATGTATGCCTGTCATCCCCGCTATGTGGGAAAATGAGGACAAGGGGCTCACAGAGTTCTGGACCAGTCTAATTTGGCTATTAGTTTGTCATATCCAGCTTTAATGAAGATAGTTTAGATATGTTCCTTATACTCCTAGTCTCTCTCTCTTTTTTTTTGTCCGTCATGGGGGGGCTGAACTCTGGGCATAGGCGCTGTCCCTCAGCTCTTCAGCTCAAGCCTAGCACCTTACCACTTGAGCCACAGTGTTACTTCCGGCTTTTTTTCTGCTTATGTGGTGCTGAGGAATCAAACTCATGCCTTCACATGCATGAGGCCCTGAGTTCAATTCCTCAGCACCACATGCATGCGAAGCAAGCACTCTACCACCGACTCAACTTCCCAGCCCTTCCTTTCTTCCTTGCTTCCTCCCCCCCCCACCTTTTTCTTTCTTGTTGGTCCTGGGGCTTGAACTCTGGGCCTAGGTGCTATCCCTCAGGTCTTCAGCTCAAGGTAAGCACTCTACCACTTGAGCCACATTGCCACTTCCAGTTTTCTGGTAGTTAATTGGAGATGAGAGTCTCATGGACTTTCCTGACCAAGCTGGCTTTGAATCATGATCCTCAGATCTCAGCCTCTTGAGTAGCTAGGATTATAGGTGTGAGCCACCAGTGCCCCACTATTCTTAGTCTCTTAAGAGCATTTATCATAAACAGACATTGAATTTTGTCAAAAGCTTTTCTATATCAATTGTAATGACCATGTGATATCTGTTCTTGGTCCTGTTTATGTAGTGCATTATATTTATTAGTTTATGTAGGTTGAACCCTCCTTACATCTTTGGGATGAAACCAATCTGATCATAGCATATGATTTTTTTGTTTTGTGTGTGCTAACATTGGGGTTTGAACTGGATCTCACAACCTTGCTTGACTTCTTCACTTGAAGCTGGTACCTGTGTTCATCAAAGAGACTGGTTATAATTTTCTTTTTATTGTATCTCTAGTTTGGGGATAAATGTAATACTTGCTTTATACAGTGAGTTTAGGAGTGTTCCTTCTATTTCTATTTCATGGAAGAGCTGGAGGAGTATCTGTGTTATCTCTTCTTTAAAGGGTTAATAGAATTTCACAGTGACTCCATCTGGTCCTGGGCTTGTCTTTGTTCAATTATTGTTACTTTAAATTCATTGCTTACTATAGATCTGTGGGTCACAAGGCAGCTCTACAATAGCACAGGTCCCTCTAGACCAGGGAAGAAGAACTCACTGGCCTCAGCAGCTGAGGCCAGATGTTGGGGGGTCAGGCCAGGGCCAGTCACATATGGCCACTGTCAATTATTCTCCAGGTAATGCTTTCCCTTGGTTTCTGGGACCCTGTGACCAACTCACAAGATCAGAACTCCTGGCAGTTTGGGACCAGTCAAATAAAAGCTCTGATTTCTCACTGGCCCACAAGTTAACTAAAAGCAAGAGAAAACCCTGACACTGCTAGCTCTGCCTTGTACCTGTGTCCTTCCTCTGTGCCACTCTCTTCTGCAGTTCCTGGACACCAGGAATGACAGAGCTGATCGTAACATCAGCAAAACCAGAACTGAGCTAGAGATCAACCAGGCCACACTCTGTCGGGACTGCCTGATTATGTACACCTCACTCGTCCACTGAGTTTAGCCAAAGCACTGTCTAAGCACTCAGTCTCTCCCTCCCTTGCTGGCTGACCAGGTCCATGCTGCCTGGTATGAGGCTGTTAGGAACACCTGCTGCTACACCACTTCATTATTCTTTTTTTCTTCAGCTACTTTTACCCACACCAAAAAGCATTGTAATACACAACTGCTGCCATTCCAAGGACAAGACTCAATATTTTTTTAAATTTAATTAATTTATTTATTTTTGTCAGTCTTGGGGCTTGAACTCAGGGTCTGGGTACTGTCTCTAAGTTTTTCTGCTCAAGGCTAGCACTCTACCACTTTGAGCCACATCACGACTTCCACTTTTCTGGTGGTTCATTGGAATGGACTCTCATGGACTTTCCTGCCCAGCTGGCTTTGAACCATGATCCTCAGATCTCAGCCTCCTGAGTAGCTAGGATTACAGGTGTGAGCCACTGGCGCTCAGCAAGACACAATTTTAATGGACTCAAATAGGTGGGTATGGTACTGCATACCTATTGGCTCAAGTAAACCTAAAGCTCAACAATGACATCAAGAATCTGAGCTGGGCCAGGCGCTGGTGGCTCATGCCTGTAATCCTAGTTACTCAGGGGGCTGAGATCTGAGGATCTCGGTTCAAAGCCAGCCCAGCAGGAAAGACGGTGAGACTCTTATCTCCAATAAACCACCAGAAAACCGGAAGTGGCGCTGTAGCTCAAGTGGTAGAGCGCTCGCCTTGAGCTGAAGAGCTGAGGGACAGCGCCTAGGCCCAGAGTTCAAGCCTCATGACCGACAAAAAAAAAAAAAAAAAAGAATCTGAGCTGGGGCTGGGAAGGTGGCTCACTGGTAAAACGCTTGCCTTGCATGCATGAGGTCCTGGGTTCAATTCCTCAGCAACATATAAGCAGGAAAAGTCTGAAGTGGTGCTGTGACTCAAGTGGTAGAGCACTAGACTTCTGAAGAGCTGAAGGACAGTGCCCAGGCCGAGTCCAGGCCTCACCATCGACAAAAAAAAAAAAAAAAAGAAGAATCTGGGCTCCAACTTTGCCCATGGCAGTATCTGGCATGCATCCTTGAGCCATACTGATTCGAAGGTGGTTATTGGTACTCCAGATTCTCAAATGGCTAGCATCAATAGAAGGAAGGAGAATTTTCCTCTTGTTTCTATCAGCTCCCCATCACCAGGAGACACCTGCCCTTGGTGTCCCTAGTTAAAATGGCTTTTTCTTCTGCCTCTACCCCTCTAAATCAATCACGAGAAAAGGAGTGAAATTCCCCCAATGGCAGGGACAAGAGTTGGCTGAGTGGGGCCCTTCTGTGATGCTCTGTGCTACGACACTTGACCAGCTGGGGCTCTACCTCCAGGAAGAAGGGGCCATGACTCTGGCAGCCAATGTTATCTACTGCCAGCCCCAGTATAAATGAGCAGTGGTGTCATGAGTCACAGATACCTAAACATTCCAGACAGAGTAGGACATTCCTAACCAGATTATAAGTGTTATCATTTTAATTTCCATGTGCACTATAGCTAAATAAACACCAGCTATAACTGTACTAGGGGTGGTGGCTAATTCTTGTAATCCGAGCTGCTCAAAGCAGAGATCAGGAGGTTCATGGTTTGTGAGGCCCCATCTCCACCAATAAAGAGCTGGGTGTGGTGGTGCATGTGTCATTTCAGTTTGCAGGAAGTTTACATAGGAGGATTCAAGCCAGCCTGGGCATAAAAATCCTACTTCAAAAAAATAACTAAAGCCAAAAGGACTAGAGGTGTGCCTCAAGTGGGAGAATGTGTTTAAACCCTAGCAACACACACACACACACACACACACACACACACACACACACACACACACACACACACACACACACAATCTGACCATAAAAACTGTAAATCCCCTAAAGCAGTTTTTTTTTTTTTTTGGGTCCGGTCGTGGGGCCTGAACTCTGGGCCTGGGCGCTGTCCCTCAGCTCTTCAGCTCAAGGCTAGTGCTCTACCACTTGAGCTATAGCGCCACTTCCGGCTTTTTTTCTTATGTGGTGCTGGGGAATCAAACCCAGGGCCTCATGCATGCAAGGCAAGCGCTCTACCAGTGAGCCATCTTCCCAGCCCTGGTCAATAGATTATGAATGTTCACTTCCAAGACCCACCTAAAGCACAGCTGTACTCTGAAAGAATTCCTCCATAAACCAAGACTATGAGGGGAAGCAAACTAACTGATAAAGCATCAGTGTTGAAAATTAAATGCCAGTGTTGAAAATTAAATGCCAGTGGAATCTAGTACAAGTAACTAAGATATGAGAAATTGACAGAAGCCTTGGAAGACCTTAGTAACAGTGTTACATTTTAACTTTAAGTTTAATATACCTTAAAGTCCCTGCTTTAGCTAGGTACTGGTGGCTCACACCTGTAATCCCAGTTACTCAGGAGGCTGGGATCTGAGGATTATGGTTTGAAGCTAGCCTGGGCAGGAAAGTCCATTAGACATCTCCAATTAACCACCAGAAAACCAGAAATGACACTATGGCTTAAAGTGGTAGAGTGCTAGCCTTGGGGGGAAAAACTCGGACAGAGCTCAGGCCCTGAGTTCAAGCCCGTGACAAAAAAAAAAAGTCCCCGCTTTGAACTAGGGATGAGGTTCAGTGGTAGAGTACTAGGGATGTAGTTCAGTGGTAGAGTACTTGCCTAGCATGTGCTATGCCCAGGGTTCCATATTCAGCATTACCACCACCAATTTCTCCCTCCAAAAAGTATCAATCTTTTTTTTTTCAGTTAAATAGTGGCTCACAGCTGTAATCCCACCTCAGGAGGCTGAAGTAGGAGGATCTCCAGCTCCAGGCCAGCCTGGGATACAGAGTGAGGCCCTGTTTCAAAAAAAAAAAAGGCTGGAGGCATGGCTCAAGAGCTAGCAGAGCCCTTCTCCAAACCTCAGGGTCCTAACTTCTGCACATGGCGGCATCTGCACACAGTAAGCTGCAGCTGGGATGAATGGCATCAGGGTGACCATATGTACCATATGTGTGTGGTTCCTGTGTCAAAGCAGCACTCACCCACGGGCTGGCACAGCACTTACCCAGAGAAACAACAGCGACGCTCTCAGGCAAGAAGTGCAGCCTGTACCGGATCAGCAAGTGCACCAAGGTGATGCAGATGGCTGTGGGGAAACATAAGATGCAGCTTCAATGCTGATTCTGAACAACAACTAGTGAGGCAGTGGTGTTGTGCAGCTAGGTCATCGGGATGAGGTCAGTGCCAGCAACACAATGAAGGTCAGCTTTTCTCTACTGTCTCACTTCTTGACCTGGAGACATGCATACCTAGCTGCAAAAATAGGTTTATGGGCCTGGGAATGTGGCTTAGTGGTAGAATGCTTGCCTAGCATGTATGAAGTCCTGGGTTCAATTACTCTGTTACCACATACACAGAAAAAAACAAAAGAGACGCTGTGGCTCAAGTGTTAGAGTGCTAGCCTTGAACAAAGAGAAGTTCAGGGACATGCCCATGCCCTAAGTTGAAGCCCCAGGACTGGCAAATGAATTTTAAAACAGCCAGGCGCCAGTGGCTCATGCCTGTAATCCTAGCTACTCAGGAAGCTGAGATCTGAGGATCATGGTTCAAAGCCAGCTCGGGCAGGAAAAGCTGTAAAACTCTTATCTCCACCAGAAAACTGGAAGTAGCGCTGTGGCTCATGTGATAGAGCACTCACCTTGAGCTGAAGAGCGGAGGGAGCCTCAGGCCCAGAGTTCAAGCCCCATGACCAACAACAACAACAAAGAAATTAAACAAAAATGGGTTTATTACGTTTTCTCTATATTTCTTTTTCTTTTTTTTTTTTTGGGGGGGGAGGTCCGGTCGTGGGGCTGGAACTCAGGGCCTGGGTGCTGTCCCTCAGCTCTTCAGCTCAAGGCTAGCGCTCTACCACTTGAGCCACAGCACTTCTGGCTTTTTTCTTTTTGCTTATGTGGTGCTGAGGAATCCAACCCAGGGCCTCAGGCATGCAAGGCAAGCGCTCTACCACTGAGCCACCTTCCCAGCCCCTTTCTCTATATTTCTATGTACCCCATCTACTTTGTTTTTCAGTAATTAAGTTTTTATGTTGTTGTTGTCTTTTGGGGGGTCCAGTCGTGGGGCCTGAACTCTGGGCCTGGGCTCTGTCCCTCAGTTCTTCAGCTCAAGGCTAGCACTCTACCACTTGAGCCACAGCGCCACTTCTGGCTTTTTTCTTTTTGCTTATGTGGTGCTGAGGAATCGAACCCAGGGCCTCAGGCATGCAAGGCAAGCGCTCTACCACTGAGCCACCTTCCCAGCCCCATAATTAAGTTTTTATGAAGCTGAAAAACCTTGTACAATCATGTAAAATTATTCACGTTTTCCTACTCTTGAGATATGGTCCTACCTTTTAGCAGTAATTATGGGATGGAAAGCCTAGTAATGAAGAGGAAGTAAGTGAAATCACTTACATAAATATGACTACAACAGATTATGTAGACATAACTTTGCCACCAGGTGATTGACTCTCTTTTAACATAGAAGGAAGTGAGAGTGTTTCACAAACTGGAAGAAGTAAATACATTGCTGACAAGAATACCGAAGAGATTTATAGATGCGCCACTCCTGTCTCTGGGCTGCCTACAGCTAACACCGAATGCCCTCCTTCTCATTGCTGCCATCCTTGGCTCTCACTGAATTCTCTTCTTGGCTTTGACTCGAAAACAGCAAGGCTTAAGGATGAAGCTGCAGAGGTCAGCTGTGCCCTGCCCTGCACTAGTACTGAACCCCCACAGGGCACATCCCCACCTGGTGGGGGTTGATCTCCTCAGCTTCCAGGCAGGAATGATGTCTGACTCTCCATAAGACCCAGGAGTTCAATCACAGAAGCATTTGAGCCCCACGGCCGACCAAAAAAAAAAAAAAAAAAACAGAAGCATTTGAAAGAAAGAAGTATTTCTGGACCAAAAGTGTACTTTCACCTAAATAGTTGCAAGGGTAGTCTTGTGGCACTAAGTTATTATATTTAATCCTCCTTCTCTCCTTGGGCACTGGGGGAGGGGGTGTCTTGATTACACCTCATTAATCGTACTACTACTTTAAGGGTACTGGAGATAGTTCTGTTTTTAAGGAACCATGTAAACACTCGGCACAGCTGTCAATGGGCCACCTTCAGAGCCCACACTGACCAACTAACTGGCTTTCTCCAGTCCTACCAGACAGCACCAGGTGTGGCGGAACCACACTTGTCCCATTTTGTTATGTGCTATAAATCACTTATCTGTCATGTTCTTCTAATATAAACACTTTTTAAAAAAATAAATATTTAACCTAGCTGGGTGCCGGTGGCTCATGCTTATAATCCTAGCTACTCAGGAGGCTGAAATCTGAGGATCGCGGTTCAAAGCCAGCCCGGACAAGAAAGTCCGTGAAACTCTTATCTCCAATAAACCACCAGAAAACTGGAAGTGGCGCTGTAGCTCAAGTGGTAAAGTGCTAGCTTTGAGCTGAAGAGTTAAGGGACAGCGCTCAGGCCCAGAGTTCAAGCCCCACGGCTGACTAGATAGATAGATAGATAGATAGATAGATAGATAGATAGATAGATAGATAGATAGATGGATAGATAAAAATATTTAACCTAGATAGAAAATCCCACATTAAACACTAGGAGCCTGAATGAAGTCCCAGAACATTGGAAAACCCAGAGCTCATGACTAACGCACATACCCACTGTGTGGGGAGAATGAAGGCAGCTGCAGCAGCAGCAAAGAAGCATGCACACACATGCACACATGAGCACTCAACACAGGCAGACCAGACTTAAGGAAGGAGGCCCATTCTGCTCTTTGTATCAACTGGACTAAAAATAATTAATTTGCCTGGCACCAGTGACTCACACCTGTAATCTTAGCTACTCAGGAGGCTGGGATCTGAGGATCATGGTTCAAAGCCAGCCCATAAGGCTCTTATCTCCAATTAACCACCAGAAAACTGGAAGCGGCACTGTGGCTCAAAGTGGTAGAGCACTAGCTTTGAGCTGAAAAAGCTTGGGACAGAGAGTTCAAGTCCCATGACCAACCAAAAGAAAAAGAAAAAAAGATGAAAAAGCAAGTTTACAGGACACATTTGTTAAGCTCCAAACCACATTTACTTAACAAGTATTTCAGAGAAGAAATAGAACAAAAAAAGATGAGCACACCTGTGAGATAAGGGAGGGCAAAGATGCTGTGAGATAATGAACTTTAATTATTCTGCCTGCAACTGCAAACATAGACATGTCAACTTTAATAACTCCATTAAGTTCAATGACTCATGAACTGTACATGCCAAAATGATGTTAATTGTTAACTCCAATTGAAATCCGCAACCATGACTCAAAGCTGTTTCTTGTGGAGTCAAAGATCATCAAGAGTAAAATGCAAATTGGCAGACTGCAAGCTCCTCAAAGTCCACAGTGAGTAGAGAGCCTTCTCTGTGACCTGACAAAGGACAAGCTCAGCTGAGTTAACAAAACTAAGATGGCCAATGTGTTCCTGGTCAGGAGTTCCTGGGGTTGGCGGCTTTAGGTCCTGTTTCCTGCTTGGGAAAGAAGAACTGTTTCTCTCTCTTTTCCTACTTCTACTTTTACCCCTGTGGCTCAAGTGGTAGAGCGCTTACCTTGAGCTGAAGAGCTCAGGGACAGCAGCCAGACCCAGAGTTCAAGCCCCACAACCAACAAAAATAAAATAAAAAAGTAAATAAATAAAACAGCCTGGGCAGGGAAGTCTATATGACTCTTACCTCCAATTAACCACCAAAAAGCCAGAAGTGGAGCTACAGCTCAAATGGTAGAGTGATTGAACAAAAAAAGCCAACCAAGAACAGAAGGCCAAGTTCAAGCCCTAGTATCAGCACACATGCACAAAAAAATCCCCATCTAAAGTTATCGTGACTCTGGGCTAGGTGTATGCTCCCTCTGAAGACAAGACAACCCAAGAGAGGTACAGAGCACTGCTAAATTCTGTTTATCCCTTCCTGGCCTACGTGAAGCACTGCCACTGGCAGGTCTCTGCCAGAGTGGAAAAGCACATTATGATATCAACTCTCTAGGCTCTATCCCCTGAAAGTCTTACTCTTTTCACCCTCCCTTACTAATCAGGGTTACTACAAAAGCTTCCAGGTATGCCTTTATAGTCCCCTAACAAGCTGACTACAGTGTAAACAGATTAAATACCCAATCTTGCAAGAGGACTATAGGTTCTGAAGATTTCTTAACTAAGGTAAGAATTGCCTTTCTTTGTATTTGAAAGCAGAAAACAAAACACAAAGCAGACCTTGACTGCTGAAATAATCTAACTAGAAATACAATCCAACCACATTTACATGAAAAAAATCATCACAATCTATTAAATATACTTGGGACATTGTATACTTCTGGTTTGTATATTTTCTCAGTATTCAATTTAACAGTTTCAAAAACACAGGCTGGGTATGGTGACACACATCTGTAATCCTCAGATCTGGAAGCTCAAGTAGAAGGAATGAGAGTTTGAACTGCACAGCAAGACCTTGTCTCAAAAAAAAAAAATAGCCTGTAATCCTAGCACTCAGGAGGCTGAGATCTCATGGTTTGAAACTAGCCAGAAAAGTCCATGAGACTCTTATCTCCAACTAACCACCAAAAAAGCTGGAAGGAGAACTGTGGCTCAAGTGGTAGAGCACCACTGGAGACAGAGCCTAGGTCTCAAGTCCAAGACCCAAAACTGGCACAATAAAACAATATAAACTTCTGCTAGGCACCAGTGGCTCACACTTGTCATCTTTTCTCAGAAGGCTCTGATCTAAGGACCACGGTTTGAAGCCAGCCCTGGCAGCAAAGTCTGTGAGACTCTTTTTTGTTTTGTTTTGTTTTTGTCAGTCGTGGGGCCTGAACTCTGGGTCTGGGTGCCATCCCTGAGCTCTTCAGCTCAAGGTTAGCGTTCTACCACTTGAGACACAGTGCCACTTCCGGCTTTTTCTGTTTATGTGGTGCTGAGGAATTGAACCCAGGGCCTCATGCATGCAAGGCAAGCATTCTTACCACTGAGCCACCTTCCCAGCCCTGTCTGTGAGACTCTTATCTCCACTATACATTAAGAAAAAAAAAAAGCTGAAAGTATAGCTGTGTCTAACATGGTAGAGTGCTAGTCTTGAGCAAAAAGAAGCCAAGGGACAGAGCACAGGCCCTGAGTTCAAGCCCCAAGACTGACACAATAGTAATAAATACACTCTTGCTGGGAGTTGGTGGTTCACACCTGTAATCTTAGCTATTCAGGAGGCTAAGATTTGAGGATCGCAGTTTGAAGCCAGTCCAGGCAGGAATGTCTATGAGACACCAATTAAGCACCAGAAAACTGGAAGTGGTGCTGTGGCTCAAAGTGGTAGAGCACTGTCCTTGCGCAAAAAAAAAAAAAAGCTCAGGGACAGTGCCTAGACCCTGAGTTCAAGCCCCATGACCAACTAACTAACTAAAAATTAACTCTTGAGAATTCTATGAGGAAAAGAAAATAAAAACTATATGAGACAAAGATTTCCAATAAAATGACAATATTATTAAAATTCTTTGACCATTTAATACCAGCCTAAATATAAATGTGAAAGAAGTTTAACTTTTTCTTAAAAATCAGCCCTAATAGACAACAAAGAAATACTCAAAACCCAGTCTATCTTTCACTCTTCTGAAAAGACATAATTTTGGTATCACCAAAAAAAGCACTGTACCAGCCACCAATGGTTCATGTCTGTAACTCTAGCTACTCAGGAGGTTGAGATCTACAGATCGTAGTTCAAAGCCAGCCCAGGCAGAAAAGTCCCCATGAGACTCCTATCTCCAATTAACAACTCAAAAACCAGACGTGGTACTATAGCTCAAGTGCTAGAGCACTAGCTTGGAGCATAGAGCCTCAGAGACAATGCCCAGGCCCTGAACTCAAGCCCTACAGCCAACAAAAACAAAGAAAAGCACTGAAAATAGAAAACATTTCCAGCAAGAGTTGGAACTTCAGTCAAACTGTTAACTTTCTAGGTCAGATAATCCAAAGCAGTTATGTAGTTTCAACTTTATTCCTTCTGTTCAAAACAGTTGTGTCCTGCCTGTCTTCTATCTGCAAAGGCAGAGGATTTTGCCTCTTATCTAAAGCCCTTAACTAATGTTAGCCTCTTGTCTCCCACAAAACAGCCATGCCAGCCACTTGACTTCTCTGGCCCTAAATTTCTTCATTCATTCGAGGAAGAGGGCAGACAACATGAGGTTCCAACTCTGAGACAGTGACTCCATTTAAACAAAAATATTGCATATGAAAATAAGGGTATAGGGGCTGGGAAGGTGGCTCAGTGGTAGAACGCTTGCCTTGCATGCCTGAGGCCCTGGGTTCGATTCCTCAGCACCACATAAGCAAAAGAAAAAAGCCGGAAGTGGCGCTGTGGCTCAAGTGGTAGAGCGCTAGCCTTGAGCTGAAGAGCTGAGGGACAGCACCCAGCCCAGAGTTCAGGCCCCATGACCGGACTCAAAAAAAAAAAAAAAGAAAAGAAAATAAGGGTATAGGCAGTATAGATATAGGATGAAGGGGTAATGGGTATGACAGAGATGAATGCTGGGCAATACAAGGCTTTTGATCTTGCACTTAGCAGAAGGTCTTTTTTTTCTCTAAACTAAATGGAAAACGGACTAATAAACAGAATAGACAAAATTCTGCTCCAATTGAAGCCAGGGTCTGGAGTTTGAAAGCATTCCTGTTTGATTTCCTTACCTTCTGTCCCGTCAATCCCTACCCCAACCCAATCCTAGAAGAATTTAAGACCCATTAAATCAGATATACTAGAGCTTTCTTAGACAAAAAAATTCTTTCTCTTTTTCAAAGGCTGAGCTTTGGCCCCAAAGGATCTATGGCTGCATAAAGCTCAGGAATGTCCTGCTAACATGGGAGAAGACTTGACAAAGTCAGCAACAGTCTAGGTTAACCATGGGGACATTCTGGCCTGGACTCACCCAGGACAAGGAGGCTGAAGAAGATGGTCATGCCACTTGACTGCTCCTCCTGCTGAGCCTGCTCCCCAGTCTGCACTGGAAGAATGGGCTTGGCAGGGGTTGGCAGCACCAGTTTTGTTGTGACACCCAAGGTGGTGTGGAGGGTGACATTGAAGCCCTCATGAGTGGCATTGGAGAACCTGTTGGAGGACATAAAAAGCAGAATTAGGTAAAGGAAAGGGGCTCTAAATATTGGTACACACACCTAGCACAGCTTTATGTGATTCACCACCAGCAAAAACCAGGCCAGGCTGAGATGTTGGTAACACAGGGATGAGTGGCTTTGGTGCTTTGAAATACAACCACCTAGAGGACCAGAGTCAGGGCTGCTGCAGAAAGGAAATACAGCTGGACAGGCACAAACTTGTCTCATCATACCCCCAGGTACCACACTATTTATTTAACACCTTTAGTTTCTGGTTCCTTCTTTTCTTTGTATTATTTCTGCCACCTGAATCTCCCAGTTGATCCCATCAGAATGCCCTACTGTACAAAATCCTGATTCCCAAAGGCTTGGGGTGCCTACTCTATAATACCCCACCCCACAGCTGATATGACTACAGTCTCTTTTCTTACAGTGTGTTGTTGTGGGTTGTGAACTAGTGCAATATTGACATCACTCATAATTATTGTTAACTTAAGCCAGTAACTGGTGGCTCACACCTGTAGTCCCAGCTACTCAAGAGGCTGAGATCTGAGGATCACTGTTGGAAGACAGTGAAGTCCATGAGATTCTAATCCCTAAATGACCAGCAAAAAGCTGTGTGGCTCCAGTAGCAGAACACTAGACTTAAGTGAAAAAGCTAAGGGACAGAGTTCAGGCCCTGAATTCAAGTCCTAGCAATGGTACAAAAAAAAAATGTACCTTTGATTACAATAATTGTTCATAGATATTCACATATATGTATGTATGTATATAGCTGTTACACTGTGGTAATTTTAAGTTACAATAATAATTGTAACTGTGATCATACACACATTTTTAAACTTTTTTTTAATTTTTGGGTGCTAGTCCTGGGGCTTGAATTAAGGACCTGGGCACTGTCCCTGAGGTTCTTTTTGCTCAAGGTTAGTGCTCTACCACTGAGCTCCACTTCCAGAGTTTTCAAGTAGTTGATCACAGAGCTAAGACTCTTCTGCTGGGCTGGATTCAAACCACCATCCTCAGATCTCAGCCTCCGATTAGCTTGGATTACAGGTGTGAGCTACCGGTGCCTGGTTCCACTTCCACCTGTTTTTTTTTTTTGTTTGTTTGGTAGATTGTTGGAGATAAAAGAGCCTCATAGACTTTCCTGCCCAGGCTGACTTCGAACTGTGATCCTGAGATTTCAGCCTCCTGAGAAGCTAGGATTACAGGCATGTGCCACTGGTTTCTAGAGTTCATATTTATGGAGAATGCTTCATTCCAAGAAACAGGTTAACACATCATCTAGTCAAGGTTCCATAGCTTGGCCAATGTTTGTCTATGGCAGAACCAAGCTTCAGGCACTTGTGTGGCTTTGTGGAACGGATGAGATGCCCAATAAATACGGTGTGCAGATGACTTGGCATCCACTTGGTCAAGAGACATCTTAAGTGTTACCAGGACAGACCCAGGGGCCCCTGTCTTCACCTGCTCGGTCCACACAGACAGGGCCCCTAGGACTCGCAGTAAGTAGATGGCGCCCTGCCTACGGGAGACGGGCTGGGCGAGACCCCGTGGGGCCCGTGCCCCCGACACCCAGCCGCAGCCTTCCCTTCGGGTCCGGGGAGGCCACGCCGCTACCGAGGGCAGCCTCAGGCACTGGAGGTCGCCCTCCCGCCCCTCCTCTGTTCATTCAAGTTTCAGCTCAGGGTCCCAGGCCCGTGCGGGCCCCACCCCGCGCCACGCTTCCGGCAGCGCGAGGAGCTCGGCGCTGGACGGGAGGCCCCGAGGCGAGGGCGGGCGGCCCGGCTGGACGCCGGCCGCGGGCTCCGGCGGAGGCGCCGCGTGGAGGGGACGCGGGCGGGCGGCAGGCGCTTCCTCCCCGGAGGTGTGGGCCCGCGGCGAGCCCCTCGCGGGCCCAGGGCCGGAAAGGGACCTCGGGGCGGCGGTTTGCCGGCCCTGCCCTCCGGCCGCGCCGGCTCCGGCTGGAGGCTCGACCGCGGGCCCGGGCCCCTCCCTCCCTCGGCCCTGCCCACTGGCACCGGGAGCTCCGCCTCCGGGGCCGCCGCTCGCTGTCACCCGCCGGGGCCCGGCCCTGCCGCCTCCGCCGCCCGGCAAAAGCCCACTCACTCCTCCTCCGCCATCTTGTCCCCCTTCCGGCGGAGCCTCCAAGACCACCGAGTTCGGAGCCGTAAGGCTAGCGGGACCCGCGTTGCTTCCGGCTTCCGCCGGAGGCGCAACTGGGCGGGCCGCCAGGTAGGGGTGGGGCTTTGGTCGCGCGGCGACTCTCTAGCCTCTCGTCTCGGTGGCCTGAGGGCGGGAGGAGCGTGTGGGAGGACTGTCCCGGGGCCTGTCTGTCAGGCTGGAGCGCGTGGCTTCCTCCCGCGGGGGATCCGGTGTTTCGGGCTTGGTTTTTCAGTCCCCTGGACAGAGAAGATTTGGAGGTCACAGCGACTCACCCCCCTACATACACACACACACAGGGTTTCCACTCTGTCAGCAGCGCTAAGTGCTGGAAACACCTCGGGCAGTTCGGCCTTTGCACCTGCTGAGGCCTAGGTAATCGGGGGCCACTTTTCTCATTTTGAAGCTTTTGCTTCACCTTTACCTGTATGCTGGGCCTCCCTTGCCACCCTGTTTAACACCTAAGGCCCAAATCACACCTTGCCCAAATCATGTTCCACAGGTCTGAACCATCATTTTTCCTGGTATTTCTCTCCCTTGGTGAAATTGGACCTTTCTTTTAGCTGCAGTGACACACTGCCCCGCACGCAGTAGACACGCACTTAAGATCATTGTCGGTACAGGTGCTCCGCTGAAGGCTTCCTGTAGTTAGCAGAAGAACAACAGGGCCTTTGCGGTTCTGGAGAGCTGGCGGGTGGAGAGCCTGAAGGTTCCCCCTCCCACCAACACCACCAGGAAGCTTTTTGCGGGAATCTAGAAGAGAGCCCATGCACGCTGCGGGTGGAAAGCTGGGTTTGTTCACGGAGGGAGGCAGGCAGGAATCAGGGAAGAAGTCAGGATATTTTGCTGAGAGGCCAGGCTGGGAAGAGATCTAGCTGACTGAGACCCTGTGATCTCTGCCCTTGGAACTGTGGTCAAAACTAAGAGATAAGCCAGACGTCAGTGGCTTATGCCTGAACACCTAACTACTCAAAGGGCTGAGATTTTGAGGCTGGAGGTTTGACACCAGACTAGGCAGCAGAGTCTGTGAGACTGTTATTCCCCAATTAATCACCAAAAAGCTAGAAGTGGATCTGTGGCTCCAGTGGTAGAGCCCCAGCCTGGAGCAAAAAAGCTCAGGGAACTCAGTGCCCAGGTACTGAGTTCAAACCCCAGGACCAGCACAAAAAACAGCTAAGAGAAAGCTGCCCACCTGACAGCAGAGTGCAGAAGGCTGGTGGTCCTACTCTGACCCTCCCGTTCCGCCCTCCCCCACCCCCTCCTCTATGATGTTACCATCTTCACTCCTGTTCTACTCTCCCTGGCAGATCAGCTTGAAGTTACTACAGCTTTTCTCCTTGTTGGAATTTTCAGTTGGGGTTAGATGGACTTAACAGGGCTTGGGGTAGTAGTACATGCCTGTAACCCCAGCACTCAGGAGGTTTAAATGGACCTCGTATTCAAGGCTAAACTGGCCTCCACATAAAGACCCTGTTTCAAAACCAAGCCAAACCCTAACAGAGAATGCGGTTAGGACCTGCTGGTGTTTATGGGACCCTTGCTACTAGGTGTGTTACGAGGTCACTGCTTGCTTGATTCCTTACATATCTTTGCAATAGATAATATCATAAACTGAAGCACAGAGAAGTCAAGCCATCTGTCTGCAGTCACATAGCTAGCCAATGTTGAGGCTGGGACTCAGGTACAGAGAAGGCTTGAACCAGTAGCCCTGTTGCTCAGCAAGACTAGTTTCTGGGGCCCTAGACTAGAACTAACAGCTACTCCCTCCTTTGCCCAAACCTAGTAAGAATGAACCTGACAGCTATGTTGGAGATTTGGGCTCCCTGTGGCCATACCTGTCAGCTGATGGCTTAAGGCTGGAATTGGCCCAAGGCTGTCCCTCTCTGCTCACTCCCAACCCTCACCATAGAACCATCCGTCAAGCCCAGGCCAGCGTTGTGATAGCCCTGGGCTCCCAGACTGGGCCTCCTCTGGGCCTGCTGCCACCACTCCGCCTGCAGAGCACCTGCCCTCAGGCCTCTGGGCCGGTTCCAGGCCTTTCTCACCAACTCCTGGGAATAAATCAGCAATCCAGGTCATTGCCCTGGGAAGACAAAGCCATTCCGTTCACAGTTCCTGGGCACCTGTGCCGTGCCAGGCAGAGAAGTCGCCAGCACAAGGTGCAGCAAGCAGGGCGCCAGGCGGTCCTGCTCTCTAGCCAGGGAGGCCACTGTCACCTTAAACCTTCGGGGTCCTCTGGCAGCACCCCTCCTCAGAAGGCTGTGAGGGAATTAAGAGAGTCCACCTGGCAGCTCCTCCACTCTAGGTCCAGTCTCCACATATAGCTTCTTGTTATCTTAACATAAAAATGAAATAAGAGGACTGGGCTGGGCACCGGTGGCTCACGCCCGTCATTCTAGCTACTCAGGAGGCTGAGATCTGAGGGATCATGGTTCAAAGCCAGCCTGGGCAGGAAAGTCCATGAGACTCTTTTCTCCAATAAAAACCCACTAGAAAACCGGAAGTGGTGCTCTGGCTCAAGCAGTAGAGAGCTAGCCTTGAGCTGAAGAGCTGAGGGACAGCGCCCACGCCGAGTTCAAGCCCCACCACCGACAAAAAAAAAAAAAAAAAAAAAATTAGGGCTGGGAAGGTGGTTCAGTGGTAGAGCGCTTGCCTTGCATGCATGAGGCCCTGGGTTTGATTCCTCAACACCACATAAGCAGAAAAAGCCAGAAGTAGTGCTGTGGCTCAAGTGGTACAGCGCTAGCCTTGAGCTGAATTGCTGAGGGACAGCGCCCAGGCACAGTGTTCAATACCCATGACCAACAACAACAACAAAAAAGAGTTAAGAGTAATGAGCTTATAATTTGTGGAGGGGAAGGGAAAAAACAAATCGTTTAAATAGGGATACAGGTGGACCCATGGTAACAATGAGATGTACAAGTCATTACATCGAAAACGAACTTTACAACTTTGGTGGGGGGGCGAAGAGAGGGAGGAGGTTGTGGTGGGAGGGCAGGGGGAGGATGAGAGGGGATGGGAAGGGGAAAGAAAGGAGGAGGCTACAATGCTTGATAAGAAATGTACTCATTAGGGCTGGGAAGGTGGCTCAGTGGTAGAGCGCTTGCCTTGCATGCCTGAGGCCCTAGGTTCAATTCCTCAGCACTACATAAGCAAAAAGAAAAAAGCCGGAAGTGGCGCTGTGGCTCAAGTGGTAGAGTGCTAGCCTTGAGCTGAAGAGCTGAGGGACAGCGCCCAGGCCCAGAGTTCAGGCCCCACGACCGGACCCCCCCCAAAAAAAAAAAAAAGAAAGAAAGAAATGTACTCATTAGGCCGGGCACCAGTGGCTCATGTCTGTAATCCTAGCTACTCAGGAGGCTGAGACCTGAGGATCCAGGTTTGAAGCCAGCCTGGGCAGGAAAGTCCGTGAGACTCTTATCTCCAATAAACCACTAGAAAACCGGAAGTGGCACTGTAGCTCAAGTGGTAGAGCGCTCGCCTTGAGCTGAAGAGCACAGGGACAGGGCCCAAGCCCAGAGTTCAAGCCCCACGACTGACAAAAAAAAAAAAGAAATGAACTCATTATTTTGCCCATGTAATTGTAACCCCTCTGTACAGTATTTTCACAATAAAAAAAAAAAAAGAGTAATGAGCTTTGCAGGCCCAGGTGGCATTGACTCAATTTGAAGGATATTGAGGTTTGAGCATCATATATATTATATATTTTTTTTTTTCTTGTCAGTCATGGGCCTGAACTCTGGGCCTGGGCATTGTCCCTCATCTTAAGCTCAAGGCTAGTGCTCTACCACTTGAGCCACAGCACCAATTCTGGCTTTTTCTGCTTATGTGGTGCTGAGGAATTGAACCCAGGGCCTCATGCATGCAAGGCAAGCACTCTACCACTGAGCCACCTTCCCAGCCCCTCATATTGTTTTTATATGCCATGAAATGCTATTCTTCCTTTGGATTTTTTAACCATTTAATAAAGTAAAAACAAACCTGGGAGTAGTGGCTCCTTCCTGCCTGTAATCCTAACTACTCAGGAGACTGGTATCTGAGGATGGCTGTTCAAAGCCAGCCTGGGTAGAAAAGTTCATGAGACTTTTATCTCCTATTAACCCTCAGAAAGCCAGAAGTGGAGGTGTGGCTCAAGGATTAGAGCACCATCCTTGAGTGAAAGAGCTCAGAGACAGTATCCAGTCCCTGAGTTGAAGCCCCAATATCATGGGCCTTCCACACTAGCATTGATTCCACTGTCCCCAGCCCCGGCTGGAGCTCACTGCAGGCCTGGGGATCTGAATTAACCCCCGACAGGGCTCCCAGAGCTGACTGCTTAGTGCAGCCCCTTTACAAGCACCTGCGACACTACAGAGGGCCAGCTAGAAGTTTTATTTTTTTATTTTTTGGTCATTTGAATTCGGGGCCTGGGCACTGTCTCTCAGCTCTTCAGTTTAAGGCGAATGCTCTACCACTTGAGCCACAGTGCCACTTCTGGTTTTCTGGTAGTCATTGGAGATGAGTCTCACAGACTTTCCTGCCTGGGCTGGCTTTGAACTGGGATCCCCAGGTCTTAGCCTCCTGAGTAGCTGGGATTACAGGCGTGAGCCACCAGTGCCCAGCTCGCTAGAATTATTTTGAGTCTTTTGCAGTCCTGGGACTGCAACCCAGGTCCTCGCACACCAGGCCAGGCAAGCATTGCACCTCTGAGCCACACCCCACTCAGTTCCTAGAGTTTGGATACGAAAACTTAATCCCAGCCCTATGGTGGGACTAGGTGGTTAAGGCCCTCATCCATCGTTATTGGGAGTGGCTCTGTTGCCACCAGACAAGTAGTTGTTACAAAGAGGTTTGGCCTATTTTTCTCATTGGCTCCTCTGTCCTTCTGTCTTGGGACAAAACAACTGCTCAAGTGTCAGACTTCCCAGCCTCCAGAACAGTGAGAAATGGGTGGCCTTTCTTTATGAAAGGCCCAGTCTCAGGCATGGTGTGCTAGATGCAGAAATGGGCTGAGAAGAAAGCTTTCTTCCAATGTGGCACAGCCAGCTCAACACGGA